AAGCGGTGTTAATAGACAAGTAGATAAGGTAGGGGAAGTCTGGTTGTGGTGGAGAGTTACGTCCGTTGACACAGATTCCTTCGTCTTCTAGGCGAGTGTTCCAAATTCCCAGCTTCCTCTCGACAAACACTACAGGGCTAAGAAGCCAAGCACCGTTGTTCGACTTTTCGTGTGTGCCTTAACACAGCCTAGACTATGGCATGTCAAGGTTACGTAGTCAATGAATGGACTCCTTTCTACTGACCTTAACCGACCTTAACCCGCGCACATTGCTACACCTGTGAAGAAATGATGGCATTAAGTGAACTTCCTGTATGTTTCGAATAAATGCCCCTATTATCAGGCCAGCACACACGGTATGATTCTAAATTACTTATTTCGTTCACACTTTATTTCTGCATAACATGTTATAAGAGGTAATTCTTTGTTTTTGTCATTTGAATATGTCGTTACACGAAACACAAAAAAAGTGTTGTCTAAATTTACAGTTAAAACAAGATTAAAAATTAAGAAAACCGAAGATATCACACACTCCCTTCCTCCACACCCCCTCAGTTTCAAAAAAAAATATTTCAAGTTTAATGTGCAGGATGAATTACGGATGTGGTTTTATCTGTCCACTATTTTTGTGTATTTATTCACCTGTACTAATTTAATATTTTCTTCTGTTATTTTCTTGTTTGTTATGCACTTGCTCCGGTGTTACACTGTAAACAACCTAAATTACGTAATTGAACTTGTTTAAAATGCATAAAAAAGCATCCCTATTTTTCTATTTTGTCTCACCCTGACTAGGAGCAGAGGAGTGAAGCAAACTTCGGGCACATAAATGTTGTGTGTCCCTACAACTTCCCTTTTCCTGCCCTTGCTACAGCTTGTTGAGGGTCCCTAGATTCTTATTAGACGATCCAATGCTAGAAATATGCGAAGAACCTTAGCTGGACTCGAACCCGCGACCCCAATTCACAAGCGGCACAAAATCTGGCGCGCCTTAGATCTCATGGCTGGGCAACCAGGAAAAACCCAGTAATTGAGATTTCAAGTTCTCATGGTGACGAGTATAAAAGGTTGGGGGGGAGTCTTCAGGGGGTGTTGTGCCGTGTAGTCTGTTAGAACCCGTCGCAACATCCTGGAAGACAGTCATCTTCAAACCAAATTGCGATAAATGTGGTTTATTTGTCCCAATGTAGCCGAAGCTCGTCAAATCAATGTTTACAAATTGGTTCTTATCTCAAATAAAACTCAACAAGTCTCAATTATAAAAAATGTATTGGTCAACGCTGTTTAAGGAAATATAATTTGACCCCGAGAATCATGCGAAACCCATGAATACACTGTGGGCAAAATTCAGAGTTATAGATAGATTTCAGTAGGTGATACATATTATTGCCACCAGTGTAAATGACGCTGTCAGTGGCTCAGACTATACAGCGCCGAAATGGAAAGTATTAGGAAGGAGCGGTCGTGGCCTGTTTGAGGGTCTATCCCGGAATTTGCCTGGAGGGACGGAGGAAAACCACAAAAAACCTGTCAAGAGAGCCGATCTTCTGGCCGGAATTTGAACTCGGGACCCCCGACACGCAACCTAAATTTCATTCGCTTGAATTTTTGCGCCCTAACTAGGAGATCACTGAAATGCCAAGGTCGGTCGTAGAAATGGGCAGCTCTTGCTAGGTGCCAAGTGCCAGAAGCTCCATTTGGCAGGACATTGACCGTGACACAGCGCGGTGACCCCAATCCTGGTTCCACCTCAGCGTTTACCATTTAATAACTACCTCCACATACCGTTCACGTACGAAGCAAAATACGCGATTTCTGTTTTCGTAAAGTATCACGTGACAAACGGTATAATATTATAGTGACGGTTGCGAAAAAACAGTAGACACAAACTGTCTATTCTGAAGGCAAACGAAACCAATAAATACCATCTATAAACTCAATTCCGAGTTACGAAATATTATAACAGGTTTTAAATTGACTATTATTAAATGAATGCTTAGTTAAAATTGGTCGGATAAAAAGAACCTGGATATAAAATTTAAAGATTTTGGACGCAGAGAATGGATATCATCTATTCTTGTTGGATTTCTTATATACTTATCATACTAAGAACTATTTTCTTTCCGCAAGCTTGAATTGCCAGAAATCAAACGATCTCATAGAGCACCATTACAGTACGTAATTTTGTGAAATAAAGGATAATAACTTTAATACGATGTTTCTTGGGTATAAAGATCGGGCAGAAGTGTCACACATAACGGGATTCGTTCCGCATATGGCACTCGCATTCCGTCCGTCGGTCGCGTGGCTTTATTGGTATTCCGTCGAGTGCAGTTACAACAATGAGCAGTGTCTGGCAGACAGAACACAACATTCGCTTGTGTGTATACAAGTCTGACAACAAAAACATGTTTGCCACCTCACAACTTCCAGAAGTATCTTCAAAGTCCTTAACAATTTTGCACAATGTGAGTAAAATCAGCTTGTAATGAGCCCCGTATATGTGGATTGTCCTAAAAGATGCCCAAATTCTGTATTTTCAATAACAAATAAAATAATAGGAAATTACTTAGCGTCAAAGACAATGATCATAAAAAGTGAAGTAGCAAACATAAGCATAAAAGTACACTTAATTATTAAAATTAATTACAGTGAGCTGAAAAAGAAACAAGACAAACACGTAATGCAGATCTGTGTTTTGTTTCGAGATATGTTCTGTTTTATGTAGAGTACCTATGTGCTGTGTGGAATATGAATAATGTGTTACCTAATTTAGTCAAGGTGGATAGAAAATTAATTAATATTTCACACATGATGATTAAGTCCAGAAGAATGAGATGGGCGGGGCATGTAGAGCGCATGGATGGGACAAGAGGTGTGCACCGAGTGTTGGTCCGGAAGCCTGAGGGGAAGAGACCGCTGGGGAGACCTAGACGTAGATGGGAGGATAATCTCAAGCGGGATCTACGGGAGATAGGAGTTGAAGGAAACTGGATTTTGTTGGCCCAGGACAGGGTCCGGTAGAGGGCTTTGGTTAATTCGGTGATGAACCTTCGGGTTCGGTAAGCCATCTAGTTAGTTATTTCACACATGAGCAGTCAACTAGGACCACGTAAGGAGGAACTTTACAGGTACATGGATTTCTGTAAGTATAAATTCTTAAATAAATTTGATTCAGTCACTACCATCTTGTAAAGTTACTTAGGTTATTTGCTGTCAAGTGAGAGGTGAAAGGAATTATTTTGAATTTTGGGTTAAGAATATGTCAGAAAATGTTTCAAATGCTTGTTTCATTTAATAATATTTCCTCAGCTACATAGGTTACGTAGCGTAAAGAGGCAAGATGAGTGTGAATGTTAAAATAAATGGAAGTGATGGATGTGGAAGTGATAAACGCCTAATTTAAAGAACCATCTTAGCATTTTGCTGTAGGGACTAAAGAAATCAGCATAGAACATCAGTCAGGACTCAGAACCAAGGATCACACCCAAGATCTCCTTAGTATGAAGCAAGAATGCTGATATTACAAGACATTAGAAGAATTTGTATCCTGTTTTAAGGTATTGTCCCAACAATCACCTGGAAATGAGATTAACAACAAAAATCTTTTACCAGATTTGAGTTTAGTCAACTTGTTATAGGTTACTTCACCTATAAATGCCAACATTATTTTGTCACATGTGGTATGATTAAATTGGGAAACGATTTAGGTGAGTAGCTTTGAAAAATTACAATATATTTTTTCAAAAATATCATGGGAAAATTTAGGAGAATCACAGGGAACATTAGCCGCATTAATCAACTTCATAGCCAAAATTTGAAACAGGCACGGCATGAACACGAGTGAGGCTTGCTACCATTGATATAATCTTTTCAGTTCCAGGATTTGAAACCAGTGCCTCTTGAATAAGCAGGACAGGTAACCATGACATTGTAATGTCTGCTATACATTTGTCACATCTATACTTCAGTCGTATGAGTCGTGTTTCTGCTCTTGTGTTGTTCGCAATCAGACTGCTTTTCAGAGTCTCAGTGGTCCTTTCAACAGGAAATTGACGCATCCTCGCTTTGACTTAAATAATGCATGCAGTCAGACATTCTCGGTGATTCACGATTTTATTGCCACCTTCCTGACATCTTCTTCTATGACTCTCTGGTCCGTATTTGGTCCATGGCCTCCTCAATTCTCCTCTTCCATTCAGTCCTATTGTTAGGTCCATTCTATCCGAGGCTTTGATTGAGGTTTCAAAACATCTTCCTTTTTATGGTGCAAGGTTGTTAGCTTTGCGACCAACCCCCAACCTGGAGGACCAGGGTACCTGTCTTAGTCTGACCTCTCCTCCTCGACCAATCTGGCTAGGGAGGCCCTACCAGTAGCTATACAATCGCCAGCATAGCTCTTGGGATCACTGAGGTACTCAAGCCCCACCACCACGACAAGGTGCAGGTACCATTAAGTGGGAACCTTCCTGACATCATTTGTATAAAATAAATACTTCTCAGAGCTGGTGATTGGTTTCTTACTTTTATATCTCTTATGTAAAATGTCAGTATTTCCATTGCGTCTTGACTGAGTGAAGAGTTTTGTTATTTCATCTTGAAATTAAGCCCCTATCTGTCACTATATCTGGGTTCAGTTCCAGACATCGATGACAGTCTGTCTCTTAAGTACAATCATATGAATAACAGGATTTTAATGTTCCAAAATGCTTCATGGCTGTTAACGTTATTTTCATGAACATCACACACATAAAATTAATACAAGATGGGATAAAGTCTGATTTCATTCAGACACGTAACTGTTACAGTGCTGTTAAAAAACCTAGAATATCAAAAGTAATTAATTAATTTGAAAGGAATCACAATTAAGAACTTGCTTAAACCTATATGTTTCTATTGTATATCCCCTATGGAATGTCAACACTTCCACACACATTACTGCTACTTTGGTCTGTCACTTAAAATGTATGAATTCTTTATTTATTGTGATGATTGTCAAGGTTCGCTTGAGGCCAACAGTGGTAATGCTGTTCCCCCTGTTTATATCACCAAGTACAATCGCTTTGTGGACAACATCTTGGAAAGAATAAACAGAATCCTGAGGAAGAACTATGAACCTGTTAATGTTCGTCTTCATAACAATAACAACAATAAGAAGAAAAACACCAACAAGAACAACAACAATAAAAAGAAAAACAAGAACAGGAACAGGAGGAGGCGTCCAAATGCTAATAAGAAAGGAAATGGGAGAACTGGTCACAGGTCGGAGGACATCTCACGATCTACCACGTAATAATGAGTAGATGATAATACTGATGATGATGATGATTATGGCAGTAGGCATGCATGAGTTGTGCTTTACTTAACTTCCAAGATAATGTGGACTGAAAATGTGACATTTATGCATGTAAACATAAATTCACAGTAACAATAACAACGAATCTCTTCAAGTGCCATACAGGCGTGAAGCAAGTAGTCTAATTTACAACATAAATTAACTGATATGTATTACACTAACATCCTGAAAGGTTCAAATAACACAAATTGTTTTAAGACCCATTTATAAGAAACACATTATAACATCATTGGATTAGAATTGCAAAATTACTACAATATAATATGAATAATTATTATAATCATCATCATCTTATGCAAACAAAAGCAATATTCAGTGCTTTTATTTATTATGTTTTCCTGGAAACCTTCAGGCTATAATTTAAGGGTTAAATTGTGTTTTCAGACCACTGACACTACACTCCACTGAGTGCACTCCTCTGCCATAATACGTGCTAAGCTAGATACTTATTTCACACTGGCTTTCAATAGTGGTGATCCTAGATGAACGTGCGCTGAAGCAGTTTATGATCAATTTATTTAGTATGGTTCAGACATTGCTTAATCAGTTTCATTTCATACACAATGTTCAGTCTGGTCAGGTTCAATTAGTTTTGTCCAATTTACATAAATCATTTGAATTGGCTAATAATATTTAAAAACTTTTCTTTTGGAAAACTGGATAAAGTTTTTTCACGTTGTGGAAGGAGTGTCAGATGTGTGGTGTGATATCGTGTATATACGTTGTCATAATTGATAGTTCTAAAATTTCAGATCTGTAGATGAGAAGAACTTAATTTGTCTGAAATTGTAACTGATTCTTAATATACAGTGATTGAAAGGTCATGCAACCCACAGTTCCAGAACTGTACAGTACTAATTTATAACACTTCAAATTTCTCAGGGAAGCTATAGAGGCAACAATGAATGAGTCTGTGGCAGCCATCTCAGCACAACTGATAGTACAACCACCTAATGAAGAACAAGTGACTCCTGTCCAAGATCTCAACTCTACTGATGCAGCAACAGTACTTTCTAACGCTACTGCCACAACCACAGAACTAGCAACAACAAAACGGTCATCTGATGATGGGATGATTAGTCGAGCAAGACCGCAACAACATCGCAATAAAAATGACAACAAAAAAACAAAAAAGAATAAGGTATATCAAGTATAATTCTCATTATTGGACTCCTGTGTTTAAGAATTTTCCATAGCCAAAATGTTCAGGGAATTCTTAAAAAAGTAGATAAAATGTGTTCCTCTTTGAGCACACACATATTTTCCACATGTTTTCATTACACTTCATCATTATAGATCTAAACTGAACTCTCTTCTCAATTTCTTTGTTGCTTAATTTCTGTCACTTTCAAATACCGTCTTCAGGATTTCGTTTTAAAATACCAATTATCATTAAACAAACCTTCATATTTATAACATATTTCTGTAATTATAATCTTCATCTTTGTAAAAATTGTATATCTTATCAGTGGATGTAATATGTTAAATAGAACAAGGGAAGACAGCGCCCTGGTGCTAAGGCAACTTTATATGGTTTGTCCTCCATACATCGAGAAGGTGATGTCGCAGTTAACATGATGAGCTCACACACTACTGTTAAGACAAAGTTTACGGTTGGGCCTCTGATCCTCAAAGTAGAGAAAGAGGTATGTATGAATTATGATAACAATGGATGTATTTTTGTTCATTTTAAACCAATATTGTAAGTTAACTTTACTGCAGAAATACTCTTAGCCCTCAATGATATGACTATTATTTTTTTTATTACTTATTCATTCATCATCTTCCTCTGTGAAGGTACTTCTTATTTTATTAAATTTTAATATAATTCATAAATTCTTTACAGATTTTTGTTGTCATTATTTGCTGATGATGTTAAAGGAAATAGGACATCTCCTCCATTGCTACAAGAACTTTGAATTCCTGGAGAATTAATGATCCCTATTGGCTAAAATTAGCCAAGCTACAAAACTATCCCATATCCTGCCACATATGTATTTCTTTTTATGATAGTTTCTATAACTGATACTCCAATAATGAGAGAATATGAACTTTTCACATTCCTAGTCTAGCTGTCAAAATGTATACAAAATTTAAAAAATTGTGATTAAAATTAAAGTGACATAAGAAGGAAGTTAGTTTGCCTCACATTCTTCATTTAATACTAACACTACATTTGACAGTCATAGAAGACATTATGAGGTTTTAAGGTCTCATTGTAGCAAAAATGTTGATTGTGGTCTTCTAGATTGTGATATCATGCAATCTTGTATATGGTTACCAACATTTCTGAGGAATACGTTACATGCATCTTCATCAAAGAACTTGGGTAACGAGTTATAAACATTGTATGCCATCACAAAGAGAATAATTGGCACAGAAAACATTTTTATTGGTAGCAACCTTTGAGCATGTTCTGCCTGTTTGCAACATTCATTTAAGCTTCCTATTGTTTTGTTACCCAGTTTGGCCGTGGCGCTAAGAAAAATATCAGAAGTGCGACAGCCACAACAACAGAAATGATAGGAAAGTTAAATCTGAGAGTTTTACATGGTGGAGCAGCCACTCTTCACTCAATCAGAGTGATGCAACCCAAACAGGTGAGTATCAAAACATTATAAAGTTGTCCCTTATGTGCGCATACATCTCAGTGCAACAATAATCTGGAACAGCAGAATTATGTGCACAGATGTATGAATATGTGATTCTTACATTCAATGGTGTTTATCATTTGCCCAGTAAGAGCTGTTATGCCAATAAACCATTCTACTTCAATGGAAAATTTCTTCATCGCTGAATAGAATATCAGAAGAAATGGAAGCTGCTCTAAAATCCAATCACAAAGTTATGTCATAGTCATTACTAAGGAATTCATGCATGAATGTCACTTAGAACTTGGAACATGTGTTATTTCATTATGTGTACAACAGGCATGTGATTTATTCTGGCTTCTTGAACTGTTTTTCACGTTATCTCTGTGGGTCAGCCTCAATATCACTAAAATGTTTATTCTATGATCAGATTTAGTATGATGATTATGAATGACACTTCATAATTTCCCTGTCATATTTAGTTTTCTTGAAAATGTTAACAAATTTTTTCACTGTTCCTTGCTGACCAAACCATGATATTTAGTAATAGTAATACATAATTACACATTATTTTTTAATATGAAATTTTTACTTCCAGGTGCGCGTGGAGAGTTCAGATGACCATGACAAAACCCGAGAATATGTTTGGAGGCGTTCAAGTCATATTGCTCGAGTTGTGTCACAGAAATTGATAAATGCAACAAAATCTATGCTGCAACCACCACCAATTCCAAATAACAGCATTATAGCATGACTAACCGATCTCTTTTAAAATTTCCACAACATATTCTATATATCACACCATAATTTGATCCTGTTTGATACTCATAGCCATTGATAACTTTGACAAATACTTTATATTTATCTATGCTCATTTTTTGATATTATAAGCATTATTTATGTATTTATTTAAATTACATGTTTTACTCAGTGTTAATTGTTATATTTATTTATTAATGTTATTTATTCTGTTTGAGCAGTCTCATCAAATCTCAATATTATTTTTCATGAATGTAATTTAAAAGTTTTCTAAGGAAAAATAGAATAAAGACTGATTGTGACTGAAGGAAGTTTATTGTGTAACACAAAAATACCAAGCATGTCTTTATGCTGTTTGTAATATTTTGTGTTCTTATTAGAGTCAATATTGGAGCTAGGATAGCTCAGTCAGCGTAGCAACTACAGACTGGATGACCGGGATTTGATCCCCGACAGGGGTAGTGGATATTTCCTGTAGCCTTGCATCCAGACTGGCTCTGGAACCCACCCACCTCCTACCTAATGAGTACTGGGGTCCTTTCCCAGGGGTACAGCACAGCCAGGGTGTGATGCTGGCCACTCACCCTATCTAGGGCCAAGGATAAGAATTAATAGGAGCTATACCATCTCTTCTCCAAAGTGCCTACATAGCATTTTGCAGGACAGCTTTACTTTTTTACTGTACTTTATCAAAGACAAAATAATGATTCAAACTTATTATGACACATAAGGTTTGAGGTTTTTGTGATGGTAAGTGTTGCAATTGTAGTCTTCTAAATTGTGATATCATATACCCCTTTTGGTAGTTAGCAGTGTTTTGAAGTAGCCTGTTGCTTCCATTGTCTGTGTAGAAGTGACCTAACCACCTCCTAAACAGGTCCTGACTCAGTGGCATTCCTACTCTTTAGTTTACCTACCTTCAGCCACATTCCCAGGTTGCTATCAAGAACATCAAGACAGTAAGCCTTCCATAAAATAAAGTCTACAGTTTCCTTTACCCATCACGGATAAAATATCCTTGAAAACAGCAAATATATACAGTACTTCTGGCTTAAATATGTTAAAATAAACATTCATTTGTGACCTGGGGCAAAGATCATCATCGGCAAATGTGGCTTACCTTACTTTATCATCCCAAGAAGTCAGTTATGGTGAAACACAGCCTAAGCCTAGATCATTGAATCCAGCTAAATGGCTCCAGCAGCCTGACCAGATGCAGAAACAATTTTCCTTTTTACTCATAAGTAATATGTGCACTCACATTTTGATTGTCAGGATTGTTCATGAATGGTATGGAAGAGAAAATGTAAAACAAGTGAAGTTAAAATTCAGACATTTTATTCCTTGATGTCACAGATGGAGCAGTGAGGTTTTTCAACATGTAAATAGTTGACATGAGTCTTTCCTTTTATGAAATATAGCAGTTTTCATTATTTTAACATATGCAATAAAAATTTATTATTAGTTTATGAAAGATTTTGGGGTTACCTGGCGATTCATACACTTTTATAAATGGACCCAATTGTTTTGAAAAATTTAAGATAATTTAAGATTTAAGTCAATATTTATCATATGTAAGACACTTTGGGGGATTTACGATGATGCATATATTGCGTTTCTTCTTCTGGGTTGGGATATCAAGTGACGACCAAAAGAAACACCGATTAATGTTGAAGCGTTTTCTAACATTTATTCATGTATGTTTAATCAGATGCGAATAACCAGAATACATATTAACTTTAATTGCATTAATAGTTCACCCACCATGTGCTATTTCAATTGCATGGTATTTTTAGTACCGAAGGACATCTAATTTTTCATGAAAACTACTTTTCACCAACGGGCGTATAATGCACAGACCACTGACTCGGTTTGAGTACTAACAAACGCAGCTGTATTGCAAACGTCATAGAAGGTAATGGCTAAACAGCTGATTATGGCAGAAGTGGAAAGCGTGATTTGCTTCTGAAAGTGATGCATAGTTTTTTAGTAAAACATGCGGTTTTTCCTTTTTCAGTTGCTGTTATTTTATGCATATAGGCTACATAAGTGTTAATTATATTCCAGTTTCAGTTCTAAATTGAGTTAAGGCATTCAGAGAAATGAGTGCCAAGGAGAAGGAAAACAAAACTTTTCACGAGAAAGTCAAGCAGTTTTTCAGAATAATAAACAAAGGTGGTGCAGGTAAGAATACATACGTGTCGATTTATAACCCTATCTAATGAGATACTGCTTATAAAGAATGTACAATTTCCTATTACTTGCATTCAGTCTAAAAGTGTGTGTTTCGGCATTCTCCAAAATCTTGCTGTGTATAGTTTTAAGTAATATGTATTCCTGTTATTGGTTTAATTGTATGCAGTGTTTGAGGAAATAACCCACTGTCTTGCAAATGTTTATTTTCGTATTAATAGGTAACATCAAAGGCAAAGTGGATTTTGCCTTGACTCAAGATATTGAAAAAGACCTGAGTCCTGAAACTCCACTGAATCAACGTGCAAAGGTTATAAAGGAGCTAAGTGAAGCTGTTCTTAAGAACCGTCTTGAGGATGTAAGAGCTTAGAGTGACAATATTTTGTTTTGAAGTACCCATAGGAAATTACATACGGTGACAATATAGGGTTCTAATCAGTCAGTTATGCTGTTTATTTAAAACATCTTAAATGTGATATTTCAGGTTCTTAAAACCTTCTGGAATATTATACCTTGTAGTCTTATAGAAGTTGATTGTTTTCTCAGAGGTGCTTATGGCCTCATCAGGGAGACAGTAAACACATCTGAAATGTCAATTCACTTGTTAGAAACTACATGGCACAATATCCTTGTTAGCTGTCTTCTTCATCTGAAATGTATCTAAGTATTTTACCACATAACTTAATCCAACAGAATTTACTTTGTATATTTTGTTACTTCTAGAATTCAATAGAAAAGTTATGGGCATGTCTTCAAGATTTGTTACAACGTGAAGTTCCGAAAGAACACCGCCATCTTGCTTTTTACTTCTTCCGCTGTCTTGTGCAGGGACAGTATGACAAACTAGGGCTTATGAGAGTTCACTTCTTCAGAGTCATTAAAACACATGATGTTGCAGAAGATGTAGCTCCAAGGTATGTTGTAATTAAAAGCAGAACATCCCTTAAGATATTGGTGGAGAGTATTGTGGGCAATATTGTAGTAGCTGTGAACTTCATTATTTCGTACACATTGTATAAAGTCTTAACTGGAGAATAATTTTAAAATTGAATTGACACAGGTATGGAGTTGTCAGTAATATGAGGAAGTAATTAATGAAATAAGAATATTACATGGCTGTAATTTATTTTATTTTATGACATGTACTGAAAAACTAAACATTAGTCCCTCCATACTGGTAACTGAAGTGGAAAAGTTGTTATGATGAGAACAAGCACATATATAATGCAAGTCAGTTACAGGTAACAGAATTCATTCATTTTCTCTTTATTTAGTGTATACACACAAATGTTTCTGTATTTCCTATGTTTGCTAGAGTAGTATCTACAAAGTACAATACCTTTTATTATTATAGGTTTGAGCTGTTGCAGAGTCTGACAGATAATGGCAAAGACATTCTGTACTTTGAGGAAGAGGTGGGCCCTTTCCTACTTCAGTGGATGCCTGCAGTAACTGGTGTTCCTCGCACAAAGGAATTTCTCTCCATGATTGTCAATGTCATCAAGTTCAATGCAGCTTATGTTGATGAGGACGTTATTTCAGGTCTTGTTCAGTAAGTGCCTTTCAACAAATTTAGCACGTAACTGCTTAGTCAGAGTTAGGAATATCATAACCCTCTGTCTGTTTGCAACATTTATTGTACAATCTGAAAATAACATTTTGGAGTGGAGGACATGCAAGTACAGTATGGTGATAAAGGTGTAAAGCTATGCTAACAATGATGAAACATGTAAATTCTTCACACCTGAAACTTACATAACACTTTTATTTTTCATTTTATGTGAATACTTATAAATTCAATGTTATATGGTAATATGTCTTTGAAAAGTATGAAACTTTTGTTAAGCAATGTTTTATGCAGAATATAAAACAACAGATGGTTGGTAGGTGAAATCTGTACTTGAGTTTCAATTTAATGGCAGGAACTAATGAAATAACTGGAGACTTGCATGTGAAATATTGTACAGAGTTGAGTCTTAAACATACCTACAAATTTTGTTTTAAACAGTTGTCACATGTTAACAATTAAGAATAAGAATGCAGAACTTGTGACACATTTAATGTCAGAATTTCCTTAAAAAAATTAAACACCAAAATGTATCCCTGAATTGTATAATTGTGAATGTACAGTTTCCTTTAAACATTGATATAGATTAGGGATTATAATTATTAATGATTATAAGCTATTCTCACAAGTTCTATAAGTTTTTCATGTGTAGGGTTTCTGAAAATTGGCTCTGAAAGGGTTAATATTTATCAGCTGGCATGGTTTCAGGAATACTTGTTTCCTGTGCTGTTGGAGTAACTCTGAGCAAGTGGTGCTGACGTGCCTCCAGGTGCTGGACACAGTCGTGTGCTACAGTACCTTACCATCTGACTCTCTCCACACATTTATCAGTGCCCTTTGTCGAACTGTTAATGTCGAAGCTTATTGTCAGAGCAGCTGGAAGGTAAATATATGGTACAAAAATGCTGAACAGATTTTGTTATAAACATGGTACGTTTAAGAAATGAATAATCACATTTGCTGTTAATATTATTTGTAGGATCTGGATTATGGATATGGGTATGGATTATTCAGCATTCTGTTTGTTCTGCCATAATAATGATCACAAATAATATTAAATGTTGCTATGCTCGTGAGCACTGATCTGAGCTCCAGATTCCGTGTATCGATCAAATTTAATTTCTTAAATGGGGATAATACCTTAGATTGAGCAACACTGAGCTGGAGCAAGCAGTGTATTATATTATATAAAGTTGTGGCTGGGATCAAGAAATGTAAGCAAAATGCGGGGAAATTTTGTTTGAGAAATCTAAAATCATTATTTCGTCATATAACATATGTTTTACAGATATGAAGCTATTTATAGGGTAGAAATAAGTTGATTGTTTTGTAATTATCAGCAGTAGTGAATGCCTATGAAAATAGTAGGTACAAGTAAAATTTAAATTTATGGGATTATGGGTTTGGTACTAGACCATTAGTTGAAAGGTTAATGTACCTTCCTGTTTGCATTTCAGGTGATGCGTAAGTTACTGTGTACTCATATGGGTCACTCTGCGTTGTATACAATGTGTCGCATACTTCAAGACCCGGAAAATGCAAAAGATGTACGCTTGTTACGTGGAGCAGTGTTTCATGTTAACATGGGTCTTTGGGGTACAAAGAGGGTCACAACACTAAAGTGTACTCCTACATCAGTCCTGCCATCATTTCTTTCTGTGAGTAGAATCTAAATTGCCAAGTCTTTTGCTTTTGAAAGCCTTGGTCTTTTTTATGCACTAAATGTTTAACATGTTAAGCATCTGACTTGGATGTTTGAAAACCAGAATAGACATTGTTGAAGGTACAGCACAGCTGAGATTCTAGCTAAGGTGCCTTCAGAATACAAATCACTTGTATTACTGCCGAATAAATTTGCTTATCGGTTTGTTTTGTGTTTACATCAGATGACAGCCTACACTCCGTTTCCAGACTTTGAGCTTCCACTTAAAATTTTGGGAACACCTCAATATTAGAGCATACACAGATTCTAAATAACATGTTATTTTTTAGGGATATCACTTACCTTAGACTGATTTTTTGTCATGGTAGACTGTTGCCTCTCTTTACACTTTTCACAACTTTATTTCAAATTGTGTTGTTTTGCAGGCATTGGAAAATAACCATTCAGTTGTTACATATGAAGTGATGTTGAGTATTCAGCGGCTGGTCAACAAGTATGGCCTGGAACTCCAGGATCCAGCCTGTGATCTGGTACTCTCCATTATAGAGGCTGTCATGAAATACATAGGTTTGTTTCTTTATTGCAATTATATCAACCTTAGGAGCCCAGAATCCTCATTTTTCAGTATAGTCCGACAATATATTTTAAATTATTGCATGCATTTCCGTTGTTCACAATTATGAAGTTATGCTTCCTCTGTTGATTGAACCAGCATCCTACTGTTGATGGTAGTCTCATATGTGCATCCATCTCAGAAATGGACTGCCTTACCATTGCCAAGGCAGGCAGAGGGCAGGCATAAGCATTAAAAAATTACAAGGAACATATCACCATAGTAACATCTCCATTTTAGCTTCTAATATGTGTTATACATCATCTGCTATTTTTAGATAAAGTACATTACTAGTTTTTCTCAGCGCAGTGGAACTGTCATGTGTTATATGACTGACTGTTATGTTATTATGTTGATATTTATGTAAATTTTGGTGATTTTTATTTTCAGGAACAAATTCGCGTACAAACCATATGTCATTAATAGAAAGTCACCTTCATGATACACTCTGCACCATTGAACGGCAGATCGAGCTGGGTCAGTTCAATGGCTCAGTCCATAGGGTTTTCGAGCTGATTGAGAGGTGTTCTTCAGCACGACCAGTATGTAATATTAGTAACTATACATAATTAACATATTGCATGTGGATCATGAGGTGATTACCATGACTTGTTAGCATACACATTGGGAATAATTCCCATTTTACCTCTATTAATTTTTTAGGTCCTGCAAGGTAATGCTACTGCATTGTGTCTATTCAGACCCAGTCTCTGCCTAGCAAATGAGAAAATCTGACATGTATATAGACCGTTCACTTCATAAACTCATTTTTATTTTGAGATTTGATGTTCTCACAGCAGTGAAGATGTTGACTTTGGCCTTTTTGGTTGTGACACTATTTATTTATTCTACAATTTTATCAAAGGTACTTCTAGATAAAAAGTGTACACTTTTTTTAAGAATATTGAAATAGACCATTCAGAAATATGAGATTTGAGATTCTGTGAGCAGTGAATGTGTCCATAGTTGTCTTATGGATTTTGACACAGTGTGGACTTGTAGGTGAGCGCCAACATTTCTGAGGAACATCTTTAGCCCCGACAGTGGAGGCAGTATGTTCCTCCAGAACATTGCCACTCACCTAAAAGTTTGCTGAAGTGTTTGCTATTGGTGTTCTTTCTGAACATGACCCATTTGACTGTCCCTGCACTTGGCTGAGCAATGGCTTAGCTTACCACTCGGTGTCAACCCAGAACAGCAACATGAAGACCTTGCAGAAATTGGTTATGAAGATATGAATTGCATTGAGGTTGTTTAATATAGGCAGATTTTTTATGGCTTCATTTTAATTATATTACATTTCCAAGACAAGGAAGTTCTTGACCAGCTGTATAACTTTCAGCTGTTGAAACAATGCCATGTGCCATGTAATTGGTAAATTAAATATTGTCATGGGCATATAGACTGAGATCACAAGTTAGTTTGGATTGTTGCAACACCGTCTCTGACAGTTTCCACACCTATATAGTCTGTGGAAGAGTTGGGCGCAAACTTATTTTGTATTTGACTGTCAAATTCAAGCATCTTGTGCAGACTAAGCAGTTATTGTATGGCACAGCAGGGGAGTGGAATAGCATGTTACAATGTAAGAAGAGTAATGAATAGAAAACAGATATTTCAGGTGTTTTAATTTAATTAAAGAGGAAATCATTATCAATTGTAACAGACTATTTAATAAATCCCTCAACTAAGAGAACCTTTGTGTGATCAGTGCTACATGTCACAATATTGTGTATTCTTTTATCAAGTTGTGTTAACAGCTCCAGTACCTTTTTATCCCTGTTTTATAGGAGTCGTCAGTTTTGCGTTTGGTGAACTTCCTGGCAGCTTCCATCATTTCAACACGTTCACTGTGGCTCAGCAAACTCGATTCATTGCTGGAAAAATACTTCAATAAGGAGACTAGGACCAGCATCAGAGTTAGAGTTCTTGATATCCTTTCAGATGTAATTCAGGCCAACAGGTATGCATATTTTCTTGTACAAATTTGTTTTACTGTTCTTAACAGACTTTTATGTTACACATTTTAGAAATTAACCCTTTGAAACTGAAGCTCATCTAAATAATATTTAAATATTTAGTCCCTTTCTCAAAGAAAACAAGACACTTCTCCATGACAAAAATCAATTGGTTAGTGCTGTTTAAAGAAATACTCCCTGTTTACTCCGAGAAAAGTACAGAACCCACAAATACATTCTGTGGGCAAAGCGCAGTTACTGATTATTAAATAAGATGGTACATACAGTTGTTGAGTCATGTCTAGTCATATACTTGAATTTTATCCACATAGTTATCTTTGCATTTATTTCTAAAATATATTTGATACAGCATATGAAAATGTTTGATTTATGGTATTCAGTTTCATTATTGATTGCCTTGGAGTTTTTATACTGCACAGTATAAATTGTTACTCGTATACTGTGATCTACCAACAGAGCCATATATGAAGATGATTTGATAGAAAGGATCGTAGTGCCACATCTACAGCACATTGATACTGACCCAGACATAATCGTGAGGAATGCGGCATCTCAGTTGCTGATTGACCTGTGTGTAGAATGTGAGAACAAACGATGCCTTGAGCTCATGGACATCCTGGAAAAGGTTTGTTTATATTCATTCATAATACTGAGCATTTCAAGAGCTTGATTTCTGTTTCTTTCACAGTCTTTCCTTTATAACCCCAGATTATCTAATATTCTTAAAAGAACTAGATGATGGATGAAGTTCAGAAACCCAGCACTTGTAGTGTCCTACCATCAGAACCCCTGACACCTGACTTGATTTTATGTCTCAGATGTGTACATTTTCCAAGTATTTATTCTTGTTACTGTGTTCACAGATTTATTATCACCATGTAAAATATTAACTTTAATTTTAGAAGTGATATTATAACAACAGCTGATGGAGTTAAGTGCTGTTACCAGTTCCTTTTGAAGCCATGAATTTGACTTGATTTGGTTTGAAATACCTCTTTAGTTTCTTATTTTGAAATTTCTATATTAGATTGTAATTTATAATATCTTTACAGGTTTTAAATAGACCTTACGAGCAATACACAGTGGATGCTGTAACAATTGTGAATGAGGTAGAAGTTATGGATGTGAAGACTGTTGTGACAGGATTGATTAAGATCTTCAAAGAGAAATTGTACCAGCTTCCATCTTCCCATGCCATAAAAGCATACCACTTGTTAGTGAATCATCTAGACTCTCATTACCAGAAACCTGTTGTATTTGAAAATACTAGCAGTATCAGATACATAGTAAGTATGATTGTAGTAGAACCTTGTGTTTGTCTTTTTCCTGTTGTGTTTTCTATGCAGTGTACTTATTGTATCTGTTTATAATGGAATTCCAAAATATGCAAGGTACAATATTTAGTTTGTTTCTTTTTATGGGATATTTTTGGTTCAATGTTCATTCCAGATATAAATCAGCATTTCTATTAATGCTACTTTAGGATATTCCTTCTTTACAAAGGTGTGACAACATGACTATGGCCACATGATTTTTATCATACACAGTCTTGTATTGTACATTTCACCATAAATTTATATTAAATTTATTCCCCCTTTAAAGTGGCATTAAATGGGAATCTGAAGTTTATTACAGATTTGAAAATTACTTTACATTGCTTGATTTTACAGATATTTGAATGCCTACTGCAGATTCGAGCCAACTCACTGTACCATCTGGGCCTTCCAAGGCCTAGTTCACCATTTTTACGTTTCAGTCCATATCTTGCAGTGGACCATAAAGATGGGGAGCGAACAGGGGGCACTGTATCTCCACCTCCAATGAGCCCAGCTCCATCTTCATATCCAGCATGTGTAGTAACTCACATCTCTCTCACCCATGCATGTAGAGCTGTCATCACGTGTCTGAAACAGGAGAAAGGTGAGTTTTTAAGACTGTGTAATTCTTCATCTTAATTGATAGGTGGTAGTAGTTGCAGGTAGAGAAGCATCAAGGGAATGGGAGATCCTGCCATAGAACAGCTGACTGAATCAAAATCAGTCTTAGAAAAGAGTGTGAAAATCTGAATTGGATTTTCCTGGTTCAAGATTGAGCTTTTGTGAACACAGTAATTAACTGTGTTTTTCATGAAAGAAAGCATGTGCCAATCAACAACTTTGTGATCAAATATATCTAATTAACTCTTTTGTAATAGAATAAGATGGATCAACACTGCTAATATCAAAACCCGCCATTGGGCATGTTCCTGAAACCATTCTGTTCACCTGCTATACTCAACCTGTCTTTCTAAGTTTTATCTTCAATCCCTTCAGTCTTTCAAGTAGTTTCTCCATGAAAATTCTGTTCACATTTCTTGTCTTCTCACAGCCATGCTACTTTTCAGCCTAACTTCCTTACCTTTGCTTTTTATATACGATTAGTAATTTCAGGAAAAACTTTTTATAATTTGTGCAAATAAATGATCGGTTACCTGTATTTTAACTCTTTGTTTAACCTTAATCAGCCATGTGCCACAGCATGTGGACAGTCCAGCTGACCATGCGTCACAGTATTGTACCGCTAAACTGTTAAAGCTCAGAGTTAGAGTCTGGCCAGCTGCCTCGTCATATGGGGTTTTAAATACCCTATTGTCATGTGATGAAGATGAATAAAATCATGTGTTCTTATATGTTTGGTTATTTAATGTTTCATGCTAAGCAAAGTCATTTAATTTTTTAGACTGGGAGGTTCTACATCTGATACTGCAGGAGGTGCCTCAAGTGATGCAGAACAAGGCTCTAATACTATCTCGACACGGCAATGATATAGACTATCTTGCATCTGCACTTTGTTCTATGGTGAGACCATTTTTGATAGCTCAATTCTGGTTTAAGTACTTCATTTTGTTACAGTGTACAAGATCTGCAATGGAGTAACAGGAATAACAGAAATAATGTGGTTCAGGATAGGGACCAATAGCTGACTTGTGAACCCAATGATTAACCTTGGGTTTCAAAGGGGGCAGGGAATTTCTTGACTAGCTGAGCATACTGCCATCTTCTGGAAAGTAGCTCTGCTCCATTGAGTTAAATAAGTTAGTAATGATTTGCCCTACAGCTTCATTTCTGTAATTGTCTCACTTTGTCTCTTCATGGAGACTTATTTTAAATGAGAGTTTTCCCCAGTTCTTTGTGTCGTGAAATGTTTACTTTGGCATATTACAGGTTAGTGATAAGTCCTTGGGACTGCCAGACACGCTCTGTAATACTCCACCAAAGCTGACACGCTCAGAGTTCCACGGCTATGTTTTTCCTGTTTTGGCTTCCCTGGCATCTTACCATGCATACCTAGAACCCAACATTCAGCAACGACTAATTAAGTGCCTGGAGTTTGGTCTTATGTCACGATGCGCTCGACAGTGTGTGATGGCTCTCACCACATGCACACTTGAGATGAGAGATGCCATGTACAAACTGCTTCCTGAAGTTCTGCTCAACCTTTCCAAAATCTCTGCGACTGTCCATATAGCAATTCCTATCCTGGAATTCTTGTCAAGTAAGTATATGTTTTCTTATATTATTTCTTGTGAGATTTGAGGTTCTTAACATTTTTCTTGTTTGTCTTTCTCCACACTTACTGTATTCTGAGAGGTGTATCTAATTTATTTTATTTCTGATTAAGTTAAGTGTTACTACTTTCTGTTGTTTATTTTGAGCCAGTTTTAAAATACTGTAGTGCCATTTTCCATAGTCAACTAGGCCATCTATAATCCATACTTTTTGTTTTTCTAACATATCTTATTTCCTGCTGGTTCTGCCAATGTTTACTTTATGGGAACTCAGAATATGCATGAAATTTTTATGAGGCATAATTCTAGTGATACACTGCATTTTTGATCAGTTTTATCTGTTGACTTTCTATATTTCTGTATTACAGCTCTTACCAGGTTACCAAAGGTGTTTGCCAGCTTTGTGGGGGACCAGTACATGTCTGTGTTTGCAATATCTCTCCCATACACAAATCCATTTAAGTACAATCACTACACTGTGTCATTGGCTCACCATGTCATAGCAGTTTGGTTCCTCAAATGTCGATTGCCATTCCGCAGAGATTTTGTGAAGTTCATTACAACTGTAAGTTCCATTTTTCATTCAGTCTTAGTTGCTGTTAAATTTTTAACATGATTTTAAAAATGTGTTGCTGTATCATCTATATGACAGCTTTGTAATGGAATGTGTTAAAATATAAAAAGATATTTGGCTTTAATTTGCAAAATATATGCATAAACTGATGTAAAACTGAAATGAATACACACTATCACAGTTTCTAAAAGATACCATCAGAAGGCAGCAATATGAAAACGTTTTATTGAAATATCAATTTGAATGGATAGTAGTGTTGACTTATAAGACCACGATCTCTTCTCGTTCTGTTGGTATGTTTTTCATATTTATAAAATGTGGATTGTTCCCTCAAGTTGAAGGTTTGATAAAGGACTGTCCCTTAATGTGGATAAAATGTTTTAAGACAATGCAAACTGTAATACGGATCTAAAGGAAATTCAGGAAAAAGAAGACATGTTCCTAAAAGAAAAAATAATTTTTTAAATGAATATCATTTATACTTAAGTAATGCTTAATTCAATAAAAATCTTTTAAACTTTTCAGGGTTTGAAAGCTAATGTCCTTGTACCATTTGAAGAGGGCCAGGTTATGAAGACAGATCTGGTAAATGAAGATTCGTCAGATCGAAAACGTAGTTCAAGCTTGACAGAGCAAGGCAGCCGCCGGAGTGTACGAATAATGGGAGGGGGAGGTCGCATTGATACCCGTGGGGCTGTGGATCTGAAACCCCCAATTGATGAAGCATTGATGACATTCCATGTGGAGCTTACAGAAACATGCATTGACCTCATGGCACGTTACACATTTTCTACGTGTTCAGCAGTACCAAAAAGGTAAATATTTCATATATACAAATTTTATGGCATGCTTGATCTATTTTTGAACTTGTTTTAATTATACTCAGATATTCGTGTCTCCAAATTATGAGTGTAAATTCTGTGTATAAATTTAAACTCCTTTGAACTAATTTATTAATTTGAGTGAAAATTGTGTAGTTAATCTAGAACATAACTATAATATGAACTAAGATATGATTAAATTGTCAGGTGCTGATATCTACTGTTTATATGAATCTGAATTAACTAAAATGATCACTGCATTAATAATTAACTTGCATTTGTCTTGTGTGAATAAGTTTGTAAGTGAACATTTTGATAAGAGCTTGATTTCTGTTTCTTTCACAGTCTTTCCTTTATAACCCCAGATTATCTAATATTCTTAAAAGAACTAGATGATGGATGAAGTTCAGAAACCCAGCACTTGTAGTGTCCTACCATCAGAACCCCTGACACCTGACTTGATTTTATGTCTCAGATGTGTACATTTTCCAAGTATTTATTCTTGTTACTGTGTTCACAGATTTATTATCACCATGTAAAATATTAACTTTAATTTTAGAAGTGATATTATAACAACAGCTGATGGAGTTAAGTGCTGTTACCAGTTCCTTTTGAAGCCATGAATTTGACTTGATTTGGTTTGAAATACCTCTTTAGTTTCTTATTTTGAAATTTCTATATTAGATTGTAATTTATAATATCTTTACAGGTTTTAAATAGACCTTACGAGCAATACACAGTGGATGCTGTAACAATTGTGAATGAGGTAGAAGTTATGGATGTGAAGACTGTTGTGACAGGATTGATTAAGATCTTCAAAGAGAAATTGTACCAGCTTCCATCTTCCCATGCCATAAAAGCATACCACTTGTTAGTGAATCATCTAGACTCTCATTACCAGAAACCTGTTGTATTTGAAAATACTAGCAGTATCAGATACATAGTAAGTATGATTGTAGTAGAACCTTGTGTTTGTCTTTTTCCTGTTGTGTTTTCTATGCAGTGTACTTATTGTATCTGTTTATAATGGAATTCCAAAATATGCAAGGTACAATATTTAGTTTGTTTCTTTTTATGGGATATTTTTGGTTCAATGTTCATTCCAGATATAAATCAGCATTTCTATTAATGCTACTTTAGGATATTCCTTCTTTACAAAGGTGTGACAACATGACTATGGCCACATGATTTTTATCATACACAGTCTTGTATTGTACATTTCACCATAAATTTATTCCCCCTTTAAAGTGGCATTAAATGGGAATCTGAAGTTTATTACAGATTTGAAAATTACTTTACATTGCTTGATTTTACAGATATTTGAATGCCTACTGCAGATTCGAGCCAACTCACTGTACCATCTGGGCCTTCCAAGGCCTAGTTCACCATTTTTACGTTTCAGTCCATATCTTGCAGTGGACCATAAAGATGGGGAGCGAACAGGGGGCACTGTATCTCCACCTCCAATGAGCCCAGCTCCATCTTCATATCCAGCATGTGTAGTAACTCACATCTCTCTCACCCATGCATGTAGAGCTGTCATCACGTGTCTGAAACAGGAGAAAGGTGAGTTTTTAAGACTGTGTAATTCTTCATCTTAATTGATAGGTGGTAGTAGTTGCAGGTAGAGAAGCATCAAGGGAATGGGAGATCCTGCCATAGAACAGCTGACTGAATCAAAATCAGTCTTAGAAAAGAGTGTGAAAATCTGAATTGGATTTTCCTGGTTCAAGATTGAGCTTTTGTGAACACAGTAATTAACTGTGTTTTTCATGAAAGAAAGCATGTGCCAATCAACAACTTTGTGATCAAATATATCTAATTAACTCTTTTGTAATAGAATAAGATGGATCAACACTGCTAATATCAAAACCCGCCATTGGGCATGTTCCTGAAACCATTCTGTTCACCTGCTATACTCAACCTGTCTTTCTAAGTTTTATCTTCAATCCCTTCAGTCTTTCAAGTAGTTTCTCCATGAAAATTCTGTTCACATTTCTTGTCTTCTCACAGCCATGCTACTTTTCAGCCTAACTTCCTTACCTTTGCTTTTTATATACGATTAGTAATTTCAGGAAAAACTTTTTATAATTTGTGCAAATAAATGATCGGTTACCTGTATTTTAACTCTTTGTTTAACCTTAATCAGCCATGTGCCACAGCATGTGGACAGTCCAGCTGACCATGCGTCACAGTATTGTACCGCTAAACTGTTAAAGCTCAGAGTTAGAGTCTGGCCAGCTGCCTCGTCATATGGGGTTTTAAATACCCTATTGTCATGTGATGAAGATGAATAAAATCATGTGTTCTTATATGTTTGGTTATTTAATGTTTCATGCTAAGCAAAGTCATTTAATTTTTTAGACTGGGAGGTTCTACATCTGATACTGCAGGAGGTGCCTCAAGTGATGCAGAACAAGGCTCTAATACTATCTCGACACGGCAATGATATAGACTATCTTGCATCTGCACTTTGTTCTATGGTGAGACCATTTTTGATAGCTCAATTCTGGTTTAAGTACTTCATTTTGTTACAGTGTACAAGATCTGCAATGGAGTAACAGGAATAACAGAAATAATGTGGTTCAGGATAGGGACCAATAGCTGACTTGTGAACCCAATGATTAACCTTGGGTTTCAAAGGGGGCAGGGAATTTCTTGACTAGCTGAGCATACTGCCATCTTCTGGAAAGTAGCTCTGCTCCATTGAGTTAAATAAGTTAGTAATGATTTGCCCTACAGCTTCATTTCTGTAATTGTCTCACTTTGTCTCTTCATGGAGACTTATTTTAAATGAGAGTTTTCCCCAGTTCTTTGTGTCGTGAAATGTTTACTTTGGCATATTACAGGTTAGTGATAAGTCCTTGGGACTGCCAGACACGCTCTGTAATACTCCACCAAAGCTGACACGCTCAGAGTTCCACGGCTATGTTTTTCCTGTTTTGGCTTCCCTGGCATCTTACCATGCATACCTAGAACCCAACATTCAGCAACGACTAATTAAGTGCCTGGAGTTTGGTCTTATGTCACGATGCGCTCGACAGTGTGTGATGGCTCTCACCACATGCACACTTGAGATGAGAGATGCCATGTACAAACTGCTTCCTGAAGTTCTGCTCAACCTTTCCAAAATCTCTGCGACTGTCCATATAGCAATTCCTATCCTGGAATTCTTGTCAAGTAAGTATATGTTTTCTTATATTATTTCTTGTGAGATTTGAGGTTCTTAACATTTTTCTTGTTTGTCTTTCTCCACACTTACTGTATTCTGAGAGGTGTATCTAATTTATTTTATTTCTGATTAAGTTAAGTGTTACTACTTTCTGTTGTTTATTTTGAGCCAGTTTTAAAATACTGTAGTGCCATTTTCCATAGTCAACTAGGCCATCTATAATCCATACTTTTTGTTTTTCTAACATATCTTATTTCCTGCTGGTTCTGCCAATGTTTACTTTATGGGAACTCAGAATATGCATGAAATTTTTATGAGGCATAATTCTAGTGATACACTGCATTTTTGATCAGTTTTATCTGTTGACTTTCTATATTTCTGTATTACAGCTCTTACCAGGTTACCAAAGGTGTTTGCCAGCTTTGTGGGGGACCAGTACATGTCTGTGTTTGCAATATCTCTCCCATACACAAATCCATTTAAGTACAATCACTACACTGTGTCATTGGCTCACCATGTCATAGCAGTTTGGTTCCTCAAATGTCGATTGCCATTCCGCAGAGATTTTGTGAAGTTCATTACAACTGTAAGTTCCATTTTTCATTCAGTCTTAGTTGCTGTTAAATTTTTAACATGATTTTAAAAATGTGTTGCTGTATCATCTATATGACAGCTTTGTAATGGAATGTGTTAAAATATAAAAAGATATTTGGCTTTAATTTGCAAAATATATGCATAAACTGATGTAAAACTGAAATGAATACACACTATCACAGTTTCTAAAAGATACCATCAGAAGGCAGCAATATGAAAACGTTTTATTGAAATATCAATTTGAATGGATAGTAGTGTTGACTTATAAGACCACGATCTCTTCTCGTTCTGTTGGTATGTTTTTCATATTTATAAAATGTGGATTGTTCCCTCAAGTTGAAGGTTTGATAAAGGACTGTCCCTTAATGTGGATAAAATGTTTTAAGACAATGCAAACTGTAATACGGATCTAAAGGAAATTCAGGAAAAAGAAGACATGTTCCTAAAAGAAAAAATAATTTTTTAAATGAATATCATTTATACTTAAGTAATGCTTAATTCAATAAAAATCTTTTAAACTTTTCAGGGTTTGAAAGCTAATGTCCTTGTACCATTTGAAGAGGGCCAGGTTATGAAGACAGATCTGGTAAATGAAGATTCGTCAGATCGAAAACGTAGTTCAAGCTTGACAGAGCAAGGCAGCCGCCGGAGTGTACGAATAATGGGAGGGGGAGGTCGCATTGATACCCGTGGGGCTGTGGATCTGAAACCCCCAATTGATGAAGCATTGATGACATTCCATGTGGAGCTTACAGAAACATGCATTGACCTCATGGCACGTTACACATTTTCTACGTGTTCAGCAGTACCAAAAAGGTAAATATTTCATATATACAAATTTTATGGCATGCTTGATCTATTTTTGAACTTGTTTTAATTATACTCAGATATTCGTGTCTCCAAATTATGAGTGTAAATTCTGTGTATAAATTTAAACTCCTTTGAACTAATTTATTAATTTGAGTGAAAATTGTGTAGTTAATCTAGAACATAACTATAATATGAACTAAGATATGATTAAATTGTCAGGTGCTGATATCTACTGTTTATATGAATCTGAATTAACTAAAATGATCACTGCATTAATAATTAACTTGCATTTGTCTTGTGTGAATAAGTTTGTAAGTGAACATTTTGATATAAGGAGATGGTACTGAAGGAATAACATTGATAGAATGCATTTTTGAAATATATGCACTCCGTTAGAGTACATTATTCCACACTCATTAATGTAGGTGCTACATGGCCTTTCTATGTGTGTAGGCTTCCCACAGCTGACTTCCTATTGAGTGGTGGTCAGTCTATGACCTGGCTGCTAGGCAACAAGCTTATCACAGTCACAACAAGTGGTTGCAGCATGAAAGCTCTCAAGAATGGGCTGTGTGACAAGTGCAGGATGTTGTGTAGAGCAGACAAAGGTTAGAATATGCAAATTGACACTATTGATTTTGTTCTTTATAAATGTATAAACTGTGGGAAACCAGAAAATAATGCATGAAAGTTTAGAATAAAATGTTAACTTCTCTCAAATATGCCGGAAAATGATCATAGCTGCACGAAGTCCTTCTAATATACTGTTTTAATACAGATTTTAATTCTGTAGTTGCAATGGAAATAACACATTGCTCATCATAAACACGTTTGTAACACATCTGTACATCTCACTGAGCAGTTTGTCCACGCTCTAGTGACGGCATATTACATTTGAGGTAGGAAGTGGCTGTTGTGTTAACAGACTTTCTCTTTTTATGCTTTTCCTAGAGGTAACACCAGGCAGTAGCATTGATCAGGATTCCCACGGTTCTCGACGCCGCCACAAATCTGCAGTGCAGCGCAGTGTGAGCACTGATGTAAGTGGTTGATTCTACATTATGATGTAAGAATACTGTGGTAACATTTAAATATATTGTTCTCCATTAATGTAGTGTGTGCTTAAAGGTGACACCATTGACCATAAACACAAGCAAGGATGATCTGAACATGCCTACAACTCGCCTGAGTCAGCAGTTTTCAGCAGAGCCACCTTCCCTGTTGGCACAGAATTCTTTGCAAACTGTATCTAGTCTAGTTGCTGCAAGCTGCTCTACGACAGCAACAAATTCCCCAGTTGATGATGGAAAAAAGGCTTTTGGACTGCAGGAGATTCACGAACCAGAACCTTATAAGCTGGATCAACTTTTGTTTGGTATGTAATACAATACAAAACATATGGTAAGGTATTTGTTTTGCTACTAACAAGCCCTAGTGCTTGTTCTTACTGGCTTATCTGCTGAATATAGCCAGCTGATGCAGTTTACACAAAGTTTGATGATACAATTCATTTCAGATTACAAAATGTGCATTTTTTAACATAAGAAAACTTAATAATATGTAGCATCTACAAAACAGATGTCAGTAGTTTCTGATAGACTTAATAAAAATACCGAGTGAAGTGTGGTCATGCATGCTAGAACTGGTAAAGGTTAATAATTGTTAATCATCAATTTTGCTATGAAATCTGCCATAAATTGTACTTCTATCTGCAAATTTGCTGAAATATAGAGGTGTGTGCAAGCAGTTCAAGTTGGTCAGCATTCTTATCTGCACTAAGCAAATTATCTGAGGATGTTGTGTAACATTTGAGATTTTCACATTAGTGAGTCTGAAGATGGCTGTCTTCTGGGTTGTAGCACCATTTAATCTGATGACTCATTGCCCTGATGATGGAGGCACCAAGGACCTCTGAAACTGTGGTAAACTTCTACGAGACTACATGGTGCTACAACCCAGAAGATTCTAACCCTTCTTATATTTCTTTATGTGTTTATATAAATCTCTAATATGCCCTTGTTCAGTTCCTTTGTTTGCAGGTTCAAAAGAGCCTGTACATAATGAGAAGCAGTTCTGTGCTTGCTGGTGCCAAGGCTGGGCAGAGATTTATGTACGAAGACCAACAGGTAAGAATTTCATTAAGTAGTTGAGAAATAAACTTTTAATGGAGTAAAGGACCTATTTATCAGACTTACGGTTGATCATCTTGCATAATAGATCAATGGCAATTCATATCTGCAGTGCAACTGGTATGGAAGATAAATATATATTTTGTGTAGCCACCATTTTGTTTTGCGTTTCTTTTGACCACTTAATACAGCTGGAGGCCAAAAGGATTTTATCATATGATACCACTTGTTTATATTGTCTTATAAGATAAAAATAGAGTAGTGAATACACATTTGTTCAAATCATCAGATTGTCTCTGCACACTGGTAGTCACTACTGTAAGTGTGTATTGGTGTCCTGCAGGTGACATGTCATGGGTGATGCGCATTCAGAACCAGGCTCACTACCAGACATCCCCTCTGGACTTCCCTCTAACTGACATTACAACTCTGTTCTTGCCATCTCTGTCAAGCAGGAAGGAGCAGCAGTTTAAGGATTTTGTGTCTGGACGCTCAAAGATTAACAATGAGAACCTGGCAGAAAGTGAATATGATGTATGTTTCAGCATGAGTTAATTAGTATTTTAAATTATAGCAAAAGCAGTGGGTTAAAAGTAGCTTCTATATAATTACAATTTCTAATGCTCATTATCAGTAAATTCAGCTGTAAAAAAGTGATTGTTTTTCATATTTTTCTATAAGAAAGAGATAATTTAAGCAAGCTTTTTCTTGGTTCCTTTTTTGTCAGATCTCGTATTTATATCAGTTAATTGAGTGTTTCCACTAATTGTTGGTGTAACCTTTCGATACATTTGGTGCAGTATAAATCTTATATTGGGCTATGAATGTAGCTATGGTTGGGAAAAAAGAAATGTGAATAGAATTTTGCTACGAAAGGAGTTGCTTTGAAAACAGAATGAGAAGAAGGGCAGCATTAAAGTGAATCTTTGAGAGGTAAACTATGAACTAGATTGGACTGAGTAAAGGATGAGTCCAAGGACAGGCTTCAGTGTTAGCAGTTGGTTTACCAGCCATATCGCATGTACAGTTTTCATCTTGTAGACACAAGTCATCTTTTAATGATTTAACGCTTCAACGAAGTACATAGAACACTAGTAGATTATCACATGTCGCTATGTAACTTGTTCAGTGCAGTGATGAGCTCCAGCTCATATTTTGAATTGTTATTTTTGATGTAAGATTATTTCTTACAAATTTGTTGCTGTTTGAATAAAATGTATTTACTAGCTTTAATGTTTGTATGTCCTCCATCCCTAAGACTGAGTATCTTGATTGAGAGCTGTGAAGAAGAAATGTGTGAATGAAATACAATGTGAGTGAGTGTTTAAATTCTGTATTACATTTTTTGCAGGCTATTCTAGATCATCATTTTGAAGAGAACTTGCACATATCACCTAGTCTGCGTACAGTGATTTCTGATACAGCACCAGTACTGATCCCAGGATCTCCAGTGAAGCGAAGTAGTCCATCACAACAGAGTTCTCATGAGAATATGGAAGTTGTAGATAAAGTTCTTGATGATGAAGGACCAGATTCTGAAGGTATTGTACTATTAGTATCATTTCTGCAGTTCGGTGATTGATGTATTCTGCAACTTTTAGTAAATTAAGATTCATAGTCTGAATTTTCTAATGTAGTGCAGAATTTATCATTTGTTCTTTTAGTTCATACTAGTCAGTAATTGCTCTCATTACTGTATTGATAAAAAGCAGTACAGACAACATTCAAAAGAATCACTGAAATATTGATATTTCAATGTGTTTAAAGATATGGTCACAAAGATTTGCAGATAGAGTAACAAAGTGAGTAAACAGTCTGAGCAATTTCCTGTTAGGTCTGACTTTACTCAATTGCAATTATCCTTCTGTAGATTCTACAGGCAAGCTGCGTAATCCTGTACGAAGGTCAAACTCCAGTCCAGAGATGAGTGCAAGCTGGAAGAATCCATTCCTGAACCGTGACAAAGAAAAGAAAGAAGTGAAGCAAGAGAGAGATGGACAGACTGATATGGAAGGGAAGACGGATGGGCTGTCAGAGAATAAGAAACCCACAAAACAGACTTACTCGAAGGACCCCAGGTGATTAAGAGAAGCTGTTTTAAATATCAGCTACCTGCCCTGCTAGGAATCGGAGTCGAGTCATCAAGCTCATTTCCTGGTCACTGTACTGACTGATTTTATATGTATCTAATTTATTCTCATTGATGTTGCATTTTTATCCTTTTCCACTAGGGTTAGTTGTGAAGCAATCCCAGAGGAAATATCTGGTTTGGGAACTACACCGCCAGCTGGTGACTCAGAAGACAATATTGACATAGGAACATCACCCCATCCCCAGCTGTTGTCATGTCACTCATATCCTGGAACTGGAGCCATGCAGTCTCCCACACACCAACCTGCTGCCAATAGGACTGTTCCACAGTCACCAACTGGTATGGTAAGTAAAAGGAGGTATGAAGTTTAGCATATGTCAGTGTGTATTTTCCTCTTTAAAATGAAGACAGTTGTCTTCTGGATTTTTGCACCATTTAGTTTGGCAGAAGTTCACTGACGTTTCAGAGGTCCTGCTGTCTCTATCACCAGTGTCATGTGACTCATTTCCATGATGATAGCTTCTATCTACATAGACGGACATCATGCATATATGAAACATACCTTTTTAATGCTACCCAAAAGTGGACATTTGCATGTTTTTGTTTAAAAATACTCTTTTGTTTGTGTTTTAGGTATCCCCAGTATCGAGTTCATGTAGTTTTCTTAGAACAACCAATGCTTCTGTTCAGTCGCTAGCTAATTCTACAGCTGTTAGCACTGTTGCTAGTGCTGCCTCTACTATCACCCAGCAAACCATTGTAACATCTCGTCCACCACAATCTCCTGCTCTTCAGACACGAAGTGTCATAACATCAGAAACTGGAAAATCCCAAGGTACAGGTAAAAGATGAAGCTATGTTGTATGATGAAAAATAATCCAGCAAACTGATATTTGTAAATACCTGTTTTAAGAGCTTTAGAAATGCAAATGTACATATATTTGTGACAGTTGCTTCAAGACATTGTCTCTATGGTATGGTCATCCATTTTTTTTTTTTTGTGTGTGTGCACTATTATACCATGTTTCTGAGATATTTGTATAAGAAACATTACACTATTGCTATGATTTTCAATGCAGCTGCAAGTGCAGGCAGTGTGCTGTTTAAAGAATCTTTTAAAGGGTTAATAAAATTCACATGACCATAGTTTTATAGTATAATTTACTTTTGTACTGGAGTACAGTACAGCACAGTACAGTCAACATCACTGCTTGTGCTTGTGTCTGGAAACTTGCCCATATTTAAAATAAAGGAAAAAGAAATTAAGTTTTAGTGAACAAGATCAAATTTATAAGCTCAGGTTATTTTCTTGAATGAGTACAGATGCCAAATCGCCAGCTGAACCTCCTCGAACTGCTTCAAGAGAACAGAAGTCACCCCTAGGAAATGAACAGTGTAACAAGGGATTGTCCCGACAACAGTTAATTTCTCAATCTGTTGGTCAGTCTTCTGTAACAGGAACAGAAAAGGTGAGTCTGTTAATGACAGCCATGGTGATCTCGTCCCTTCAGGTTTTCCAACTAAAATTTTGAACACTTTTCTTGTCTCCCTGTGATTTCTGCATGTTCTGCCCAGCTCATTGTTACTGTAAATACCATATTCATTTTATTAATAATTTAATCTTTATATCAGGTAGGTTCAGAGAAGGAGGATACGCAGCGCCCAGATCCTTCTGCTCTGCCACCGTTAACCTTTAAGAGAGACCGTGGCCACACAATATCAGTGATGTCTCCAGTACGGAAACCACGAATTGACTGGAATCCTGTTCGTAAAGAGAATTCACCTCGAGGCAAGGATGCTCCTCGCTCTGGCATCAATCCTAGGTAATGGATAAAAATTCTTTGGAAAGTTTAAAATATTCTGAACAGAATATTTCTAATTTCTCCTGTTAGCATATTTTCTTCCAAGTGCCATTTACTGATCTGAAATTTACAAAAAAAGTTAGCTTGGCACGGTAGTCATACCAAATTGCATAAAATCCATTCATCTGTTCTTGAGTTGTATATGTATATGAATGATTATACCATCATGAGCAATAGCGTCATTACATCATTGTGAGGGATCATGGGTAATTGTAGCATTTTGGAAGAATGCCCTCCCATCTCACAACTTTTTGCATCTGTTATGTTGTTGTTACTACTTCTAGAATATTTGAAGTGTGCATCTGTAGTATGCTCTGGTTCCATAATGTCCATACCAAGTTTTATAAAAATGTGTTCAGCCATTAAGTTATGTGTGTATAGACAGATGAGAGACAAGGTGAAATTTTTTCAGTGGAATAAAATGAACCGAGTAAGTTGTTCACCTTTAGCCATCTTTATTTTTGTCTCCAATAGAAACCTCATAGTATATATACACTGATAAACTCAATCCTTGACAAGATATCTTACCAAAGGGTTTAATTTGAATTTTCATTGTATGGATACATTTATGAATAACTTTTTCACTCATAAAATAGAATTTAATGTTGGCTTGGTGTTTCAGTTTTGTGTTTCTTCAGCTTTATCATACAGCACACTTTGGCAGTACTTCAGAGAAGCCTTTGCTCGTGCCTCAAAGCCGGGCAATTCAGCGTGCAGTTAAGAACTTGGATAGAATTCCACCGTACGAGACTCATAAGGTTGGAGTCATATATGTGGGACCGGGACAGGCAAGCAATGAGGCAGAAATTCTCGGTAATCAGTTTGGGTCCTTGCGGTATGCGGAATTTCTGCAGGTTAGACTTATTTGTAATTGTTATAGTGTTAATAATTGCTTTGTTTACACAGCAGTTCTTAAAATGCTTTCTTAGTAAGATGTGCAAGAAAGTTTGTATTTTATTATGAAAACTTGACCCATGATAGTATTTAACAGGTATTGCTGTTGGGTTAATCTTTCAAGGTTGCATGTCCTTTGTTGCTACCCTTGATTCACTACTAATCATTATACTAATGTTCTTAAAATGGAAGTGAATTCAGTAATAATAATGAACTAATTATTTGTAACTTTTTGTAATAATCATTGTTTATAGGTATGACAATAATTGGAAAGGTATACATTTAGCTGAATACACAAGCCTTTCAATACCCTTCCCCAATTAATAGTAAAAAAAAGTGATGTCTTCAGTACTCGTTTATTGATTATTTCAGAGGTTGGGAACCCTCATCGAACTGAAGGATGCAGACCCTCAGAATATCTTTCTGGGAGGTCTGGACAGTAATGGAAATGATGGAAAGTTTGCTTACATTTGGCAAGATGATGTCATGCAGGTATTTACTATTTTATGTACTGGGGATACTGGGAACGACCAGTTCTTCAAGTGCCTGAGCACTGCGGGTCCCAACTTTTCATTGGCTTGATCTATAGACATTCGGTAGGACTCCTTGGACGAGGGATCAGCCCGTCGCAAGGCCTCTACCTGTACACAGGACAGCACAACACAGAAAGACGCAGACAAACATCCATGGCTTGAGTGGGATTCGAACCCACGGTCCCAGCAACCAAGCGGCACAAGGCCCACGCCTCAGACCGTGCAGCCACTGCAGACCCCTACTATTTTATGTTCATTCATGTAATATGTTTCCCCTCCCTCTCCATATTTGAGTGGAATGGAAGTGGACTTCTATTTTTATCTTAGTATGCAATTTGATTCACAGAATCCCACCCCTGGTCTGTGTAGTGAACCAGATGAATCAAATCCACATCTTTACACTCTATTTAAGATCCATTTTTATATCTGCCCATCTATATCTAGGTCTTCAAAGTTGTTTGTTCCCATCAAGTTTTTATTCTGAAATTAAGTATACATTTCTCACCCATCATGACATAGATCAAATTAAAAAAACTTGTTTATTTCAGGTGACCTTCCATGTGGCAACGCTGATGCCAACCAAAGATACTGATCCTTTATGTAATGGTAAGAAGTTACACATTGGCAATGATTATGTTATAATTGTCTACAATGAAAGTGGCGAGGAATATAATATACAAACTGTGAAGGTAAGACTTGCATTTCATTTATCTGTACTGAGCAATTGAGTTTGTAATGGTCTGTTTTTGTATAAATTATTTTAATTGAGAGCTACTTTAAAAGGGACTAAGTTTACTGACATATGAAATATATTCGAAAGTAAGAACTACATAGTTGATTTTCATACGTAATGTTTATATATGTAAGTTAGAGAGCTGCACAAGTTTCTCTTGAATTAGCAACCAATTTACATTTACATTTCTGTTTTTTTCCAAAGAAGAGGTAAATGTAAAGTATAAGTAGTCCCGAATGTATTACCAATATTACAATAAATTAATTTTGGTCTGTAAAATGACATATACAGGACATGCTCAAGCTAAGAGCTTCAAGTTATAGGCTAAGATTTTTAAACAGTCTTTGAACAGTGTGAAGTGGTTTACTGTGCAGTATATGTGATATCTGTTGAGTCAGAACCATTCAGCCACTGAGATCATCACATTTTATCGTAGACTCATATAATTCAAGCCTATGATCAGTTTGCTGTGTGTGAAATCTGCAAATATAGTGATCATATTTTCATAACCAAAATCTATTTACTGTGGATTTCGGTTAATTGGGACACATCAGGACTAGAACACTTTGGCCCAATTAAGTGGCTGCCACAATTATGCAAAGTTTCACGTAAAGAGTTAAAAAGTTTTGTTCTTTAAGATTTGTCCCAAATAGACGGCTGCCCCGATTAACCGATGGCTCAATTAACCAGAATCTACTCTATTCATGTTTAGGTAAGTGTCCATATTGTCAGTCATTAATGAAATGTAGGTTTGAAGGTAATGCCCTTATAGGATATTGCACTGTATAGTCTCATAGAAGTTGACGAGCATGAGAATCTGGAATAAATTATAAGTTTAATTCCCAGCATGTCAATAGGCAAACACAGCATTTTAACCAATGAATGTCAAGGTGTCCAGACTGCGAAACTGACCACCTGTCTGTTTCTAAGGTAAACATTTTGTGAACTTTATATTCACTCCCTCGTTTGCATTCATGGTGTGACTTCAGTACACAGACATTATCATTACTATACATCCTCATCTGTATAGGTAATTCTTTTTTGTGATACTGTCACATTTTCTAAGTACCTGAAGTTAACAGATTGTTTGATTGTTTCAGTGCCAATTTAACTATGCTTGTGTGGTAATTCAGCCACTGGACCATAGTACAAACCAGGTAACGGTGAAGACACGAGAAGATCTAACAGAACACATTGGTCACAGTGAACCCAAGATTGTGTCAGACCAGAATCTGGCGATTTTAGCTAGGCAGCTAGCCTTACATGCAAATGTGAGTAGTGAATTTATTCTGCCAGCTTGTTTGTAGGTAGCATCAATGCTAAAAATTGTATGTAATGGAAGTTGAAGATTGTGATTTTACCAGGCTATTCATGTTAAACAGAATAAGCAGTGCTGTTAATTTCTTATGTCAAATAATATGATCTTAATTGGTCTGTCAAACTAGTATAGTGTTTGTAGTGTTAACTAAGTTGTTTATTATATTACAAAGATTATTAAGCCAGTGACCAAAACACCAGAGTGATTGGAAATTATATGTCAACACCCCTCTTTGGTCAGATTTAGTCAGAAGACAGGATAAAAATAAGATGCATGCATAAAAGAATTAGTAATATCAATAGCATTACACAGGTGTATTCTTTCTGAAGGTGTTATTTGTGCCACAACATAGGTGATGGCAACAAGAAGTGCAGTAGTTCTGTCTCTTGTCATGTTTCAGTTGGCTTCTATGATATCATGCAGCTTGAAAGCTCAGGGACAGGATCCATATGCATCCAATTGGCTGGAACGCCTACGACAGATCAAACGGCTGCGTACCAAAGTGTTGCAAGAGACAGCAGCAACAGCCACAAGTGATAGCAGCTCAACAGATAGTGAACTTCTGACATCTCCACGTTCAGCACGGAGGGTCCATATGGATGATTTCACAGAGTACACATAAGCATTAATATGGATAAGCTATGTCAGTTTATGAAGAGATGTACTTTAAAATGATGTACAGTTGGTACTCAGATATGAATGTATGTATGTATATATGACTTTTTTAGTAAACTTCATTAACAAAGGTAATTCCATTAACAAACGAACTGCAGAGTATATCTGTGTGGTGGACATATTTTAATCAAGAAGAAGCGAGAAAGAGCGATTATCTTGTAGTGTCTTTGTTTATTTTGATAATGGACAGAGATGAGTTGCGCAGACTGTTGTTGATCAAAACATTGCAGAGTTTCATTATTTCTGGTATTGTTTTTTTCTTCTGTTGGATGTTCTTATCCAGGTAGAACTATTCTTATATTTGGCTGGATATATGGTTTTTTTTAATTAATAATTGTTTCTTAAGTGAATGATTGAATGTGTAACTTCTGATCTATAGGGAAATTGAAATTGTGAATGAGTGGGAACACCTATGGGGTGTATGACCATTGATTAACATCATGTCTGTGTCTGTAAAAACAAAAGTTTTGCAGAGTTGCAAAAGTTGCAAAATCTTGCTACTTCAGGATGCCATTGTTGTTAACACATATGAATCTGTTTTTTCAAGTATAAAAGTATATAGTAGGCCATGAATGAGAAAAAATTATTTTGTTTCATTGCTTTGTTTCCATTCTGTGAATGCTGATAATATTTAGATGTGAGTATGAGGGGTTTGTGTTTATTGCGGAATGTGAATTAGTTTGAGGATGTCCATGTAGACAAGCCCAATAAAATTGTGTCCAAGAGCTGTCTGATTCTGAAACCAAGAAGATAGCCCAATGAACCTTTAATAATATAATTATTGTGATGGCAGTATACAAGATTAAAGCTGCTTGAATTCATAGTCTTTATGAAGATCGTATATGACCAAACTCTATTGGTATATGCCTCTATTAATTTCAAACATGTTCAGTAAAAAAATTACAGCTGTGGTGTATGTAGTGGTATTGTTAGCTCTGTTATACTATGAAAATAAAAATATTAGATGTGACTCAAATAACAATGAGAAATGTCTTTCTTCATCTTTACAGTCTATAGGATGTACACTTAGGTAAGTTTTAACCTGTGCATCAGAGCTGCTAAAACCTTTTCACTGATCAGGCAGATATTTATTGGGTATAAATTTTTCTTTGTATGTAGAATCAATTACACTGTCTCTAGGTGTTTCTATACTCACTAAGGCACTACTTGTAAGTTTTTCTGAAATAGCAACAGTGTTGTTGCCTATATATGTATGAGGTAAATCACCAGTTATTATAACTAACCTCTAAACCGTGTATTCTGCCATTAAAACTATTCAAGTCTAAGTTTCTTTCATATTTTAAAGAAGAATAAAAAAGGTACATATGAGAAATAAAGTAAAAGGTTCAGTTTTGACTGTCTTTGCACCTTCAGTCAGGTAAGTCCTTTGTTTCTATTACTAAAAACACTTTAATTTTTTCTTTTCTCCAGTAAAGTGAAGTTAGCAGTTTGAGCGCTGTCATGGGGTGTGGTACTCCATACCCTGGAATACAGCAGAACTGATCAGATAAAATGCACTGTTTGCTCATTCAGGCTTATGTTTCCCATCTTTTTGCACAGATACATTTAGAAGAGATGCTATTTCCTTGAGTGCTGGCTTTAGATATAACACTATCACGTTTGTTATTTTAAATGTGCAACCTTTGTTTTGTCATAATGTGACACGACTGTGCACAAAGGAAGGTGAAATATCATACATGCTCAATTGCAAAGATTTTCATTACTGCCCTTGCCTTGGAATCTGGCTGACACTTTTGAAAATCTCGCTCCACAACTGTTTTAATGGTCTTCTTGAACCAGATTATATATTATTATGGGGAAGTGTGGTGTACATTGAACAGGTATGTAAACAGAATCTTCATTGTGTATGAAGTGTGTGTACATTGAAATTCAAAGTATGGTTTGCAGTTGGTGCTTGGAGAATAAATGGGCCAATTTTTTGATCAAACAAATTTCAAATAGAATGTAAGATTAATTTTGGCACTTAATTGGTTAGTTGACTAGATGAAAATCTATGGTCCATATGACCCATCCTATGAATGAGTTAGCTGAAGTTCATTGTGTGAAAGCAGCACTTTTATACTAAGTTTATATGAAATACCAGGGTTTAAAAAGTAATTGTTGGTGGTGTTGTACAAATTAGGTAATGGAGGAAGGGTCAGCTGAATGAGGAAATAAAATGAACAGCAGCATTCTTTTAAATTATTTAAACCCAAGATTGCTGATTCTCTGCCTTTCCTTTATAGATGCCAGCACAATACGTTTGGCGTTACGTTGCCAACCAGCAGCATTGATATGCGCATGTGTGTGTGTTGATGACGTTCGCAGTTCATAACGACCTCTTCTAGCTTGGTGGTGAAGGAAGGTAGGATGTTAGTTGTGTACGGTATGTAATTTGTGCTAAATAAGGCAAAAATGTTGAAGAAATTAATGTATTTGCCTACAAAATTAATAAAACATAGAACTGTATCGATTGAAATCGTCAAAAATGCTAACAGTCCAGGTCTTTTGAAATACATTGTAACCAAGTGTTTATTGTGTAGTCCTTTCGGTGGAAACGGACAGAACTTTCGAGATTTTCATAGTTATGGGCCACGTAGAAAGAGTGAAGATCGTCGTGAAATGTATGCCTCATTGCCAGCAAGAGATGAGGGTACTGACGGAGAAAAGGGAGTGGATATTGATATGGCCGTAAAGAGGTGTGTGCTTTTGAATTTGTTGTATCTCAACTTGCAAGTAGAAGTTCAAAATGGCTATCATTCCGAATTTCTTGGCTCAATATCACCAACATGGCAAGATGGCGTGTTGGATGAGAAGGCAAGAACATTCGAAATTGCATAGGGAATGTAGACTCTCATAAATTGTATGAGTAAGATTTCTTGTAATTCGGTGATATAAATGTGAATGCTCGTATGGTGTTTTCACCTTAGGATAGAGAAGACCAATATTGATATGTCTTACTTTTTGTCGGCGTTTGAATAGAAAAACTGATTTGTGAAAAAATTTTACACAGAGACTTGTTGCAGTCGAGAAGATATGTATCCGGATGAGAACACTCCCACAAGATTGTTTAACGGCACCCCGTTTCGCGATTTGCCTATATGTGATATAAAGGCGTCGAAAAATAATACCATCATCTCAGTGAGTAATGCCCAAGGTGGGTCTTTCATTATTATTTTTAAGTCAACATTGTTGCAGTGTTCAATCGCCAATATATATTGAACTTGCTGCCCTCATCCCAGGTCTAAGAAAATCCTTGAAAATAAATTTTAACGTGCAGGAATATGCCCTTTGAAATGATCCAAAAATTATTTCCATCGATTTAGATGTCATAATGTACGAGCAAAAATAAGCTGCCTGGAAGATTGTGAAAATGTTCTATGAACATATTTTAAGACACATGAAAATAAATAATTCTGATTACCGTAACTACAGGGTGGGTGGGAAGTAAGTAGGCATTAAATAATCGCAGCTTGCATATACATGTCAACAGTATACCTTGCCATTTCACATACCAAACTGATGTACAGTCTGAGCACGGCCAGGGCGTGTTGCGGACCACTCACCCATATCTAGTCCCGAGGTTAAGAATAAGTATTGTGATGCAATCTCCCAGTGTATATTAATCACTGCATTTTTTGGTGGTACTTTGTTCATGTCAGTTTTAAGAATGAATGAAGAATTGTTAGAGATGAGGGGTGTACTGATGATTGCGATTTTGTCACTGCTGCGTGAAAACACTAGTACCACCAGGTATTCATTATGCAAGTATCGGTGATTGGAATCTCTTTGTATTTTACTGGCTTGTTTGTGTCATAGTTAGGTAAATCGCTGTTGGCCATTTAGGTTCTGGGGTTACTCAAATCACTGGAATTTGTAAGTACAATATAGTGGCAACTAGAATTGGGTACATGTTTCTAGGTCTAACAGGTATCTATGTACCCAATAACTGGTTAGGTGCTAGAGTGATTTGTAACACTTGTCTGGTATGAGTATCAGAGTGATGAACAATAAAGTGGAAGGTGTTTTCATTGTATTTATTTTTGTTACCATCATGTTTTTGTATATTTGAATTTTCTAATATTGTTGACTCTCTCTTTTGACATTCAGCATTTCATTTGCATGCAAGTTGTATTTATTAGTAAAAAAATCTCATACATTTGTAGCATTCATTGTTATTTCATACTGTAACAAAAGTATTTAGTTCACCTTAAAGTTGTAATGTGTACAATATATAAAATAGTGACAATTTCAAACACTACCATCATGACAAGTTTCCATCTTATTGATATCTCACTTTGATGTTGTATAAATTGTATATCATCGACGTACCTACTTTAAAAAAAATGTTGTATTAGAGGAACTAATTACATGGAACAGTGTCGTTCTTGAGAAACTAATAGTACGTGTAGTGAGTCAAGAAATACCTTAGATCTTTTGGAACCAGATGGTTCAGCACAGTGTTCAAAGTCCTGCCACTAGCCTTTGTTCTGATCCAGGTAACTTATCCACACTGCCAAAATCTATTTCCCTAAGATCCGTTTTAATATTATACCCCTATTTTCTCTAGGACATCTGTGCATTAGGAGTCGAGAAGGAATACAGATCACGGGATACGCACATGCATATGATACTTCATTTGTTTTCATTGTAGCTATGTTTTTCATGGGTGGAGTTTCTTGAGTAAATATTGTCTTCCACTTAATGTATTAATATAATAATACGTGGCGTAACAGCCCTCTGAGAGCCAAAGCCGACTCGCTGGCTGCTAGCCTCACATTCACATGGCTAAGCAGAGGTGAACGATCAATTGCTCATGTTGAAATATGGTTTAAATTTGTATAACAGGTCATTTACGCTTACATTATGTGAAGAACACTTCTGTGTGATACAGGAACCAAGCCAAGAGTGAACATATCACCCAAACTTCATCTTAGTATCTGCATCCAGCCAGGCAACTTAACATAGTTGAAACTGAATTTAACACTTAGGCCGGGCGCAAACGGAGCCACTTGTGGCCGCCACAAGCTGCGGACTGTATTTTGTATGGAGTTTTAATAGACTCAGCACAGACAGCGTTTGTAGTGGCCCGACCGGGCCACTTGCTGCGGTAGTGGCCATGTCTCGCTACTTGTGGCTGCCTCCGACCACTGTTTATCCCACTAGTGGTCGTGTTTAGCCACTAGTGGCTCCGTTTGTGCCCGGCGTTATGGTTGTTTATTCACCCAGTTAACATGGATCTAGCCGGAAGGGCTAATTTGAATTCTGTTGGTTGGTGCATTTCAACTTATGGTGCGAGGATCTGCCCTCCCCATACCACAAGTATGCTGTTGACATTTATGAATGGCTCCTTGCTTCTGGAATGTTTCCATGGTGGACCACTTGCACCCTTATTAATAGGCATGCTCCCTGTTAAAACTGCTGCTTCCTTGAAATCAAGCCTTATTAACCTCTCCAGTTTGATAAATCTCTGGATAGCCATTAGCAACTTTTGCAGTAAAATATAGTAATAAGAAATGTATTAGCCCAATACAGTATTGTATCATCAGGTATAATTATACTTTTTTGAGATACAAGCAAAAACAAAATGTTTGTGAATGCTGATTAGATCTAGTTCAAGTTTTAATTGTTGGTGTGTTAGCCAGCCCATACTTCAGTCTCTATGCACATTATCTACCCAACTCTTCTGTTGGCATTGATGAGTAGCAGGTGTCCTGAGGGAGTACCCTGGTAGCGCTATCCCTCAACTCTGCAGTTGTTGTACAGTTTGGTTTCCAGGTTCATCTGTTTTTATGCTAATTTTAATTAATATTTGTGTGAATACAATCTTTTGAACAAAAACTTCGCATTGGGATTAGAAAAAACCATCATTTCAATGCTAGTCCCAACACTAGTGACTTGGCTACAAGGGAACACATCCAGCTGAGTTCAGCACCACCCCAGCCATTTTTCAAAATCTGTCATGCAACTCAGAAAAGACATTTCGATTAATGTTTATTTTTCTTCAAACTATACAGACATACAACTGCAAGAAGATTACGAATGACTGTAAATAAGATCATCTATATACTGGAATTACTTCTGATTTGGGGCTTAGAAAACTTTAAGCGCTTGGTTTTTGTTGTAGAGAGTATACTTTGTCTACACGGGGCTTGTATTCATGTCATGAGAATCGGATGTGTAAAACATTTCTTGATTCACCAGTACAGGAAAACTAGAAAGGTGTAATACTTATGGGAATACACATTCTTCACAAATTCTGAATTGTTGATAAAATATTTTGTCAAATACAAATCGATATTCATATGCCATGAGTGTTAGCTCTGTGACAGTGTACTGTTCTCATATGCATGGAGGGTTATGGGATCATTCCTCACCACGTTATTTTACAATGTACAAAGAATTGCTGTTCCAAGGGTTCTTAAATCTATAATCACATAGTATGTGCCTGTTGCAAGTGGTAGTAGTGTTGTAATGCTCTCTGCAGTTTTTGGTTGAGAATGTATCAGTTTCGTATTAATTTTTGTGTTGTGAATAAAAATATGTTGGGGTAATGGAAGATGAAAAATATTAGGGGGATCAAGATGACAGAGTGTTGCAGTATAACCAAAAACAAATTATCTTAATTTCAACGCAATCAGCATTTTGATGCACCCACTTACACTCTGCATTGCATTTTATGAAACAAAGGAATTGTAAAACACTAGCAATGCAGGCGCTGCTTGTACAGCCTGAATGTATTCGTTTTGCATGCTGATGTCTCCATGCTTTGTAGTCTTCCCCTCGCTTCCATGTGTGTATTTATAATGGTCATTGAAGCATCGAGTTGTTTTGCATCCACTGTACTTATAATGGCAGGACCAACATTCCATTTTTATGCGTTCTTTGCACAGTAGGAACGCAATCGTGGGCTGGTTGCGTCTCCAGTTGATTCACCTGGACAGATTTGGATGAAATTTGGTATGAAAGTTGTGCTATTCCACATGACCTCAAAATTGAACTGTTGAATGGCCTGCAAGAGGTGATTACAAGGTGACAGATGAAACTCGTGATAAAGACAGGTGCTGTGATCTGGTGGTCAGAATGGAAACTATCAAACAAGGCAGATTTAATACCTCTAAATCCATGAGGGTATGCGTATTCTGGTATAGAATACACTTTCCGAGCTTGTTTAAATCCATCATTTGCCAGGCTTTTCTTATATTTACTTGGTTGTGTGGTAATGAGTATTTTCTGTTACAGGGCTTGTGAAGTTGTTGAGATCATGTGGAGTGGAAGGCTTTAAAAATGCACGTAAAGGCACTAATATTGCAGCACAAGCAACAGCCATCAGTCTTAGTATGGTAAGATAATTGAAGTATTAAAATGTGTGCTAAGGAACAGGCCAGAATAGTCATTTTTATTGGTTAAGGAGCTGAGTGACATTTATTGTTTTTCCTTGAACATGCAGTCTGTCTTCATGTGCGTCATACTGTTGTGCTGCTAAGTTAATGTCTGGCCTGTTTAAAGTTATACAAATATAACATTGGTTTGTGTAAAATTATTTATAAGTTGATTAAATTTGAAAATGGTAGCATGTAATTTGGTGTCATTTTGTTGCAAAAGTGTATTTATTTTTTTTCTTTCCAGAAAGCACTAGATCATGGATATAAAACAGTGCGTGTGCGAGTACAAGGTCTTGGACCAGGCCGAATGGTGAGTACTGACAACATTGTTCTTATTTTTTGTGTGTTGTAAAAAATTTTGAGTAATCTGGTTTTTGGTGGGTCATGTATTTATGCTGCCATGGTTCAAATATCTATTTTGTAATACATTATTGGTATGTTGTTATTCATTTTATTCCTTTGGAAGCCTTACCTAGGCATGTACATGAGTGTTTTTAGTGTATGTAATGAATTTAAAAACGTTTGAACCGCAGATCTGAGTGAGGTACATATTTTGTCAAAAATGTATTATATGGTTCTTGCGAACATGCATAAGGAAAAGGGTTAGTCTGAAGTAGTGGAAAGATCAGTTACAGAATACAATTATGTGTAAACATTTTCAAGTTTTAGGTCATAAAAATGAGCAAATAAATTTCAGTCAAGCTAAATGTTATCTCTTGTAATGGGATACATGTTTAATGATGGTAAAGTTTTATAAAAAATATTTGTGTTATAAACAATTTTGGAAACATTTTTATTATGAATAAATAAAATACATTTGAGAAATGAGGCGGTAAAAATCATAGATCTCTATTAGTGGGGTTATATTGTGTTTATGGCCAGTGGAAAATTTCAATTGAAATTCAACATGAAATCATTGCTTTTGTGTCTTTGCCCATTATCCCCTTTGTGTCTCATGCACTTGCACCCAAAAGCAGCATTTGTAACCCCCCCCCCCCAGTCTTTTATCTTGTAGGTTTCCAAAATTTAGTTTTGCAGAGGGTGGCCATCACAAATCTCACCATGCCCTCCTTTGCATTGCCTACGCCTTCCATTTATGTTTTAGGTGTAGGCTCAGGTCTACTGTCATCACAGTCATTGTAAGGTATAAAATCCTTTGGTTGATGAGATGCATCATTGGATCTAATTTGACTCTGCTATAAATTAAAAACATTGGGTACCAAATGTTTCCTCATTATCATATTAATCTTGTGGAGAAATGAGTCCATATGATTTTTTCCGTTGTTGATGTAATGCAATAGATTTACTTTTTTGAGGTACCCTGTTAAGATATTAGCCTGATTATCAGTTCTTAGCTGGCAGGTTGTCCTCAGCTTCTCCCGCTAAATTCTTGATTAGTGCCTCGAAGCAGGCCATATCTTTGCACTACATCACTATATAACCTTTGCAGTTGTAGCGTAATCAGTATTTATGTATAGATTGGAATCGGTCTACACACAATTCCTTAGCTTCTCTGATGGAGACAATGGAGCAGTCATTTAACGGTTAATATTTTATTGCACAGTGACTGGGGATTCAGACCCATGTACTGTGGGGTTGTCAGATGGACTTCAAGTCTGGGATTAGTGGTTTAAAGGCATGTTAGTGTGACACAGCCAGCTGGATCACGTGTCAACAGTGATGAATGGGTGATAAAAGCTAATGTACTTGTTTCTTGTTAGTTACTCATTTAATGATTGAAGAGGAAATAAACATGTTCTTTCGTGTCTTCTTGAATTTCGTTGTGGTAAATTTCAAATCCAAGTGAATTTTATTATTATTCCTTTCTCATGTGTATCAGACTGCACTATTGCCATAAATGCTGTAGGTATCAGTTTCAACTATAGCACAAAAGAATATGCGTCCGGGGTTTTTCATTTTAAATTTTATACAAACAAAAGAAATGGCATTTATTTGAATATTAAATGCACTGCTACACGAAGTCTACAGTTACATCTATATTGGGTTGTTGCTACACATGTTGGCATTATACAGTTATGTGCATGTTAATGAAAACAAGGATTTTGTATAAAAAAATTTACAAAGTGAAATGTAGGACAGGTAAAACTTATTCCACTGACAACATGGGCCAAATTACGTCTTCTCATTTTTGTCATTTGTACTTGGATGCAAATACCAACATACACTTAAGCGTTTAAAAAATCAAAACACTGAAATACGAGATCTGGCACAAAATAACGTGGCTGATGCTATAACTAGGCAACCAATAGTAGTGAGGGCGAAATAATCCAAATTTGACATTGATGTATCCTCTACCAGTGATGCAAGTTTCAACTTGATCCCTTCATTCAATAGCAGTGGATGAGTGTTTCTGTAAAGACGTGTTTTAACGCTCGGTCGAAAAATGTCAGATTGTAAATTCAAACAACGTGTTAACGTTGCGTTTCTCGTTAAAGTTAAGAAATCCGCGACAGAAACTTTTAAATTATTGACGGAGGCTTACAGTGAAGATTGTATGTCTCGTACACGTATGTTCGAATGGCACAAACTATTTTTGGAAGGCAGGGAAAGCGTGGAAGATGATGATCGCTCAGGTCGTCTATGTCTAACAACATTGAAAAAGTGCAAGATTTTATTCGAAAAGTCCGTAGGTGTTCGAGTAATAGCTGAGATAGTTACTTTAGACAGGGCAAAGTGTTCGACGTGTGTTAACCGAAGAATTGAACATGAAAAAGGTTTGTGTTCGTAAAATTTTGTCAGCTGAAGTAAAAGAAGTTCGAAAGGAAATTTATTCTGGCCTTTTGCATCACATTGAGGACGAACTGGATTTGTTGAAATTGGTAATACTTGTGATTAGGATATTTCAATGTGATCCGGAAACTAAGCAATAGTCCATGCACTTCAAGTTACAGTCCTCTCCAGAACAAAAGGACACATGAGCCGTTCGAAGTTCAAAGCCATGTTGGCTGTATTATTTGATATTAAGGGGGTTTTGATGGCAGAGTGGGTTCCCAGCGACCAGACGGTATCAGCAATATTCGGAATTTTGTCAAAATTGCGCGAACGATTGAGAAGAAAATGACAAGTTGTGGAAAAACTTGTGGATTTTGCACCAGGATAACATGCCAGCCTGCACAGCTTTGTCTGTGAAGCAGTTTTTAACCAATATGAACATAATTGTGCTTGTTCACCCCTCCTGTTCTCCAGACCTGGCTTCCTGTGACTTATTTCTCTTCCCCAAGATCAAGTCCATGCTTAGAAGGACCCATTTTGAGATGGTAGAAGTGGTGAAGGCAAGAATGACATTGCTGCTGAACAGCCTTACTGAAAATGATCTACAGCGCTGCTTTCAAGTGGCAGCATCATATGCAGCTGTGTTGGCCCCGAAGGGATCTATTTCGAGGGCGATCACAGTTAATTCTTGTAAATGTGTAAATAAAAAGAGTTACAGCATTAGTCTCGTTATTTTTGTCTCGGACTTCGTATATGTTTGTTCAAAAGGTTTGTCATTTGCAGAAGGAATGTGTTTCTGCACATTTGTGTTTATTGTGTAGCAGACTCCACAGTTGAAAGCACTACATGCTGTGGTGAACTTAGTCTAGCTGTGCAGAAATTATTCGAGGAAAAGATTACTGCACACTTCAGAATTAGATGTTGAATGAGTTAGACAGTCTTCATGCTGCCAATGGCTACAAACAACTAAGTCAGCAGTGCACGCGATGATGTTTACAGATGAAACTTATTTCTCCAAATGGTGGTGTTTGCAAGCATGCTTGCTGTCTTTGACGGATCTGACAATCCCATGACATTCAGCATGTCTGTGACTCCCCAGAAATGAATGTGGTGTGGTCTGCTTTGTTATAACGTGATCGGTTGTTTTTCTTTGTTGGAAACATTTATTATGCGTTGCTGGAGAGCTTCACTTTTCCGATGTTGGAAGTTTTAGTTAAATGGAGCAGGACTTCATTATAGCATCATTGTATTGAAGGATTTGAGATTTTCACAGTGGTGAGACTGAAGATTGCAGTCTTCCGGGAGACTACACAGCACAATAACCCAGAAGATTGCAATCTTCAGCATTGTATTGCTCTCGGTGATCGGTTTGCTGGAAATGGAAGTCACTTGACTTTACCCCTCTGGGGGTATGTCAGAAGTTCTGCTTGTGGGTGTGCTGGGAAAGTGGCCAAATCAGTTTTTTGTTATGCATGCCATGCTACAACTGAAATGCATTTAACCCTCTAAACCCCATAGTGACGTTATGGACACTATCAATTGCGTGCATATGCCCCACTCGCTCAACAGCTGAGTCAGAGAAGTGCGTCCGGCGCCATTTTCTCGTCACTGATTCAGTCTGTTTACAGCTACTACTGATATTCATTTTACTTTCATATCGTTTTTTAGGCCTAGCGCTATTGTGCGCTTACTATATGATTGTGTAAACATCTTATTAGGCTTTGATATGCATTTGCAAATGGAAAAAGGCAAAGATCCGCGTTTCGGCGGGTGTCTGGTCCCTAACCTGCCGTATATGCGGTGCCCTACTGTACACGTCACCTTCAAATATGAGCAACACTTCTTAGCAGTTGTATTAGGTGTACTCAAGACCCAGCGCACAGCAGGTCTAAGTTTTGACCAAGTGATCATGGAATACACACAACGAATACTGCTGCATCATCGTAACCCTCGGTGCCTGTAATGGCCAAGTTGGTACTGCTGCACGGGAATACGCGTTGTTATCCTAGTCTACGTCATTCAGACGCTAATGCGTTTCGACCACAGGCGGAGCGTCTCAGTGATACAGGTTACCGTGGACTGTACGAACACCACCTAGTTAAGATGCCATATTTGCAGCTTTGGAACGACAGCCGTGGAACAGCTCTCGCGATATCGCACGATAATTTGGACTACCCCATCCGACGGTCCTGGACGTCCTTCATGACGAGCACTTGTATCCATACCACTACTCGCTGAGCGACGCATCTGTTTCCAGACGATCGTTGCAATTTGTGAATTGATACATTAACACTCTGCAGAAGAGACTTTTTATACAACATGCTTTGGACAAACTAAGCGTGTTTTACGCGTTAGTGTTCAACGTCCGCAAGTCATCTTTGGGCACGGGATAATCTTTTGCTGTCCGCGAACGTGAGTGCCTAGTCCGCTTCATCAAGCAGTTGTATTAGGTGTACTCAAGACCCAGCGCACAGCAGGTCTAAGTTTTGACCAAGTGATCATGGAATACACACAACGAATACTGCTGCATCATCGTAACCCTCGGTGCCTGTAATGGCCAAGTTGGTACTGCTGCACGGGAATACGCGTTGTTATCCTAGTCTACGTCATTCAGACGCTAATGCGTTTCGACCACAGGCGGAGCGTCTCAGTGATACAGGTTACCGTGGACTGTACGAACACCACCTAGTTAAGATGCCATATTTGCAGCTTTGGAACGACAGCCGTGGAACAGCTCTCGCGATATCGCACGATAATTTGGACTACCCCATCCGACGGTCCTGGACGTCCTTCATGACGAGCACTTGTATCCATACCACTACTCGCTGAGCGACGCATCTGTTTCCAGACGATCGTTGCAATTTGTGAATTGATACATTAACACTCTGCAGAAGAGACTTTTTATACAACATGCTTTGGACAAACTAAGCGTGTTTTACGCGTTAGTGTTCAACGTCCGCAAGTCATCTTTGGGCACGGGATAATCTTTTGCAGTCCGCGAACGTGAGTGCCTAGTTCGCTTCATCGTCGGGCTGGTGTCGTCGGGGGCATTGTCGTGGGTTCTATCAGCTACCTGAAAGGCTGGCTGCTCAATGATATCGCGTGTTTTACGCGTTAGTGTTCAACGTCCGCAAGTCATCTCTGGGCACGGGATAATCCTTTTGCTGTCCGCTTCATCGTCGGCGTTTGGGCCGGTTTCGTCGGTTACATTGTCATGGGTTCCATCAGATACCTGAAAGGCTGGCAACTCAATGATATCGTGATTTTCTGGAAACTTCTATTATGGCTGCTTGAATATGTGCCTCCATTTGGGAGGCAGAGGCTATGGTTAGAACCTGACGGAGCTCCGGCGCACTTTGGGGGAGATATCCTGCAATGGTTGAACGCGGCATATCCAGGAACGTGGATTAAATGTGGATAACCGATTGCATGGCCTCCTCGGTCGCTGGATCTAACTCCGATGGATTATTTTTTTCTGTGGGAACGTCAGAATGAGTACGTTTATGCAGACCCTCCTAGGATTGTCGAAGATCTCGTGTCGACTCTGAGCATCTCTGACAGCTATCAGTGCCAAGATAGTTAAATAAACCACGCAGTACTAATGCCTACTTTCTGTACTGTGCCCCTTGTTTTGTAATTAGATTTGAACCAGAAAGTATATAATTGAAGGAATTGCTGCTGAATATTAACATTCCTGTAGTGCGTTGTAGCAGATTGGCCAAACAGGGGCCCCTTTTTCTCATCATCCTGACCTCCGTGCTTGGTATTTGAAAACTCCTGTTAATTCCATTTATGGGTATTGAATTGTGTGATGAGATATCATCCATTCTGGTTAACCTTGTTATAGATTCATGACATCTTTTTTTAAATTTATCCATTGTTTTGTTTGTTTTGTTTTTTTGCATTATCCCTTGATGGCATGAGAATTTTGAAGTGACAGTTGTGTATCACATTGGCAGTGTAAAAGTGTAGTTTTGTGCTTGTATTGTCATGACTTTCTTAGAGGTGACTATGATTTGAATTTAGTTGCTGTTCAATATCAGAAGTTTCATAAACTATATGGTTTATTAGTTTAATGTTTCAGCTTCATGTTTGGGAAATACTTGGTTCTGATCTTGGCCCAGACACTAACTATCCTGACCTAAATGGTTTGTGGTTTTCTTCAGTCCCTTCACCTAAATTCAGGGATATTACCTTGAAATAAAACATTGAAGACTCCTTTCAAAATCTTTTTCAGTTCATGTTTGCTGCTTGAGATAAGGAATTGAAAACAGTTTAAATAACCAAAGAATTATTTGGATGTTTTTATTTATTTTATTTATTTATTCTCTGGGGTACATTCTTGATCTAAATTTTGGTGAGGTGGATTGCATTAATTGTGATCGGCTCAGTCCTGCAGCCAGAAGTAATAATATTACCTTGAAATAGACAATCTGTTTCTCTCCTTGTCTCTTCGCATTTAACACAATCCCATCGTTTGAGTCTAGGTGATCTAAATAATGATGAACACCTTGGATTATTGTCATGTTTTGTGCATTGTATTTGCTATTGTGTTCAGAATTATTTACACCATTCCTGATTTAGAACTACTGCATTCATTTTAGTGCTATTTATAAATGAAATTGAGAATTATTCATGCTGAAACATATTGAAATCAGTATCAGAATCATAAAACGTTAATTTATGTTTATTCTTTTTCAGGCAGCCATCAAGGGTCTTCAGATGGGTGGTTTGGACATAATTTCTGTGACAGATAGTACACGAGTATCATGGAATCCTCCACGGCCACGAAAACGGAGGAGATTGTGAGCATGGCACCAGCAAAAGTGTTATGCTTTTCATTATTGTCATCAAGTCTGGATTATTTTATAGATAGAAGAATATGAATACAAGGTCAAATAAGACACTGAATGCCATCTATACTTTGAGGTACTAGATCCAGGATTTGACTTCATATGAAAGAAATGCAGAATCTATGTAAGTCTAATTTAAGCAACCATATTGAGAGTCATCAGACAAAATGATACTGCACTAACATAATATTTTATAATTTTTTTATAAGATAAGGTCATGCTAAATCCCATCACTTTGTTTATCACTGTAGCAAGTTCCATTGTCTGATGGCTTTCAGGTAAATTGTTCATCTTGGCCAAGGTCATAAGAAACTACAGGTTATGGGAAATTCTTTAGTTTCAATTCCTGGGCACTCATGTTTCAATAAGCTAACCATAATTTTGGGCTATAAAATATGACTTATTGCTGTATTGATTTGTGGATTAGATGTTTATTTTAATTAGTTTTATCAGATACAAAATTTATTCTGCATAGTGATCACAGTTAATCAGCATTTCAGTGGAGGGGAAGCTTTTGGTCTTGCATGGAATTAACTTATAGTCTGTGACTAATCTTGAGACTTGCTGGGTGAAGGAGGAAAGATAGCGTCTGCCTTTAACGCTTCAGACTTCCTGCATTCCTTGCAAGTCTCAAGATCACAGTCGCGTACTGTGTTTATTGTTTGAGAATTTCATATTTTTTTCGATTTTTTTTTTTTTTTAATTTTTTGATCCAGTTGAAGCTTGTGCTAATACAGTCTGTGTTTATTCAGTGATAAAGATTATTTTATCCCCATTTGGTGATTAGTCAGTCAAACATTACCAAGGGGTTCAGCTGATATTTCAGAATCAGGATCAATTCTACATAATCAAAATACAGCCACTGCCATTGGACATCAGAGGGTTGAGTTACATTGCAGTTTGGAAAGCTGCTATTCAGGATTGCAAAATTGTTGCTCTAGTTATATTGTGTTAGATAACTGATGGGATGAAAGTAATATTTATCTGATGTGGCATGCTTTAAAAACTGCTGTGGAGAGACTGATTGTTTTTAAATACCACTGCTTTATTGGATTAACATGGTACTTTATGTAACATGAGTGCCCATTTCGTACATGAAGATCATATACATCAATGATGATATTTTGTAAATGTGGACATTTTAGAATTGAGTGATGTGTAAAACTTTGTTTACACATAATTCTTCTATATGCTGGTACTTCGGTTCATTTTCAGCTATGAGAAATTCAAATAAGCTTATAATTAATGGCTACATGTTTACATCAGTGGTTCTTGACCTTGTATAACCATGACCCAAATTGCAAATTTTGCAACCCAAGCTTGAATTTTTTATTATATACACTAAAATAAAGATAATTCATTACAAAATTTTAAACACCAGTTAACATTTAAATAATGGTAAACATTGTTAATGGTGGGCAGTTATAACCATGACTATGGAGCTTTGACATTAGGCAGGATTATACAAATTTAACAGAGGTAGATAAGACAGGCTACTTTGTAGTGCGTGCTCAGGCTGAAGCATAGTTTTTGAATTTCATCTTCCTAACAGTAAATGCTAAGATCAACCTCACATGTATAGTTACAAAGAGGACCACTATGATTGCCTCACTTGTTTCTTTTTGAAATTGTTTTGAGGCATCTCTTCTTTTTATTTTTTCATTATGTTGGTGATTTCTTGCAGTGGGTCTTCTATGCTGATATTAAATGCGTTTGTCACCCGGTTGTATTTAAATGCATTCTTGGGAAAATAGTAGTTAAATTCTGATTTGGGTTGTTCCAAGTGATGCCCTCCCTGTATGCAGATAGATTAATGTCGAATGGTCATCCAGATGGTTACTTAATGTTGAAAATAAAAGTTTTTTCCTGACTTTCTCCTGTGTCCACAGCTTTAGCATTTTCTTGAAACCTCTTAAATCTGATAGTGCAACCTTAGAAATATTCAGATCATTGATTGTTTGCGAGGTAGCGAACTTTTAACATGGATTTGGAACATGAAAATCTTATTTGAGAGGATGGTTCTTTTCCAACAAATGGTGTTGCTCATCATTGCATAGTACTTACCAATCTTCTGAGTACTTTTCTTCACGATAATCATGTAACCTCTGAGTTGTACAACAAATGATTTGATTGAAGATTCTGAAATTAAGGGATCTTATTTTACAGAATTTACTACCTTAATCATATGTGTCATTGGAACTCCAAATTTAAGCAAGAGCCCTTTATCAGCATGATCTGAAGGAGGCAGTGAAACATCAGTTTCCTTATTGACTTTCTTTACCTTGATATATACCACATACAAGCTGGTGCACCACGAGCACATACACTGGAACACAGATTCCATTACCAGCCGTCTCTAAAGAATTAATCTGCCATCTCAGCAATGTCTTCACCAGCTGTGGTAGTTGGTGACTGGCTGCAGAACTTAAATTATTGTTCCCTATATGTCTGTCAGAATCTCGACTAATATTAAAATTTTACAGTGACCCTTGGCGACTATCTCAAATTAGCACGGGTTCAATTTTGGGGTATGCTCCAGAGGTTAAGAACCACTGTTTTAGACAGTTCTACAGAACCACTAATATCATCTTCCATAAATGAAATGAAGAGTGAATATAATAATTCATAACAAATAATGCACATTCTGCAAGGAATAGAATAACCATAATTCAGCAACAAATATTGTGAAGTGACTATAACAATAATTTGGCAGTAATCAGATTGTATGTAGTGAGGTCTCGCAGGTGGCACTGATAATGGTCCAATAGAACTGAAATGCATCTTGCCTAATAAATTACAATGATTATAAATGAAAGCTGTGTTGATAAACATTAAGTAATTACAAGCAAGAACATGAACAAATGTAATGCAAACTTGTTTGTTGGTTCCTTCATTATAGACAGTATTTTAGATACAAAATGAAACTCATGAACAGTAGGTGGTGTAGCTCGTAAGATGGCTACTTTAGTGATTAAATGCAACATTTGGCATAAGATCATATTTTTAGGGTGTACTGAAAATATGTGGATTAGTGTGACAACATTTGATGTGTCCTAATAGCGTACATTTAGTACTTTTAATAGAATTCTAGAAAAGTAGTTTTGAGATTTGAATTTGAAGAATTATGTTCATTTATTGAACTGTAAACATATTTCCATTTTCTTTTTTACATATGACATTTTGGATAACCACTTACGGTTCATTGTAATGAAGGAACGTTAATATGCACTTTTACGTCTTTTTGACTTGTGCATCAAAATGCGGTACATGATGTGCAATTCTTTTAAAAAATTGTTACAACATTTAGGGCGTGTCCAAATGGAAGTGTACATAAGAATTGTTTGTCTTTGTAGTGCCACGTAGGCTGCATAAAATCCACTTTGCAAGTGCCCCGTCTTAAAAATTTGGTATTGCAGTGCTTTTAGTCAACATTTTACAGGCTATTCTCTGGAGGCATATGAATTCTGGATATTGCTTTGAACCAGTAAAATTAACTGAAACTCTTTATAGGTTTTGAAAAATGACCTTGGTGATGGTTTTATCTGAAACTGCATTGTTCTTAGGCTATCAGAATGACCTTCATAGTTTTGTTAATATAAAATTCTCCATAAGTGATTTATTATAGGCATTATTTTGAAAATATGGAGATAGTGTATTATTTCACTCACCCCACTTTAATCTGCTTTGTCTTAGACTATTTTTTTATAGATACTGAATGCATAAAATTTAATATCACTTCAGGCAACATTGATAATAGAAGCATGCACAATACAAATTCTGGAAAGTGTTGTTTTATGCATGTTGTCATATCCTGTTCTTCAGCTTTGTGGTCTTGGGGGGGGGGGCAAATCAGTCAAGCTGGTGTAATACTGTTTTTGGAACATGTAAGCCTTTTACTCAAAAGCCCTATAAAATATTTGTTTGGAATGGAATTCATTTTACCACACTGGTAATTGATATGGGCAGAATATTGTATCTAAAAGAGTCACTATGTTAATGAGGCCACTGCAGGGGACTTGAACATGGTGGATTTTATTGATGAATTTAAGAAAAATACATTTTATGTGCCATTAGATGAATTATTCTGCATTCTGTAGCAGGACTGTATAAATTTTTGGGCCTTCTTTATCACGTTTGTTATTGATTAACTTAAGTATTTTACGTCCTTTATTACTCGTAGGTGTAAGAAATTTATTCAGAGATTGAAACATTTGCAGAATAACTATTTTATAACATTTTACTTTAAAAGAGTAGATGGTGACTGGAGTGGCACATTTATTGGAAGAATTTCCAGGATAAAAGCTGCCGTTACATCCAAATCACACAGTGGAATTTTTTGTTAATTAAATAGAATCTTCCGATTGCTTCCAAAGTGAAATTTCTGAGCATGAGCGTATTTTCGGTTAAACACGGTATTCAAGTCTGGCACGTAATCCGCGCTGAGCATTCTGGGTATAAGTCAGTGAAGAAGAAGGCAATATGGCTGACATATGCAGTAGCTATTGGCGACGCTAACAGTGTGTAATTTTGTTCGAGTTTATTTTTGGTAATATTAATTGTTTGAATTGTGAAATGAAAGCTCATTATTTTGAATAGAATCTGTGTATTTGTGGGAATTTTAATAGAAAGTTGAACAATTTTAACGCTCACGGAACCGAACACGAGCTGTGAATACTTCGCAAAATGGCAGCCCACTTGCCGTGACGAATAGGCTAAAATAATACAGTGACTTTAACATGGATTCATAAAAAAGGCAATTATTTGTTTGAATGTAAAATGTAGTAAGTGCAGTGCAATACTAGTTCGGATTGAAATATTCGAAATTTTACAAGAAATCTGCCAACTGAAGTGATAGAAATTTTTGGCCTTTTATCTATGAAGATGCGACAGGTAAGCGTGTATTTTGTTTTAAAATTAATTCGATGTTACTTTGTAATACTCTTGTTACATTTGCCTTTCTTCACCTGCAAATATCTTGCAATTATCTGTGGCCTTTCTTGTGGGCTTCAGAAAAATTGTAAGCATCTGCTCATTAGTGAAGGAATGAAGGTCCCGTTTTCAGTTTTTTTGTCTATTATTATATTTAATACTTGTATCCATTTTCTGTGGTACGTGTAACGTGCTGTGCTTTTCATCAAGCCATATAATGTGGACTTCTGAGCATTACTTGATTAATTTGTGAGGGTTGAGAGTTGTTTATAAATTTGACTCAGTGCCATGCTGCTTTGTTTACAATAGAAAATAGTAAATTTTCCCGCGTAATAATGAGTGTTCCACGGAAATGTTGTTGGATTTATGTTCTTCACTTGTGAGGCTATGTGCAGGAACTAAAACTTTGAAATTCTAAGACAGACCCATTTTTGCAATTTAAGCTCAAAGTTGGACTTCTTGTCCATGCCATGATAGCCAGCAATGTCTGTATGTATTTTTATGGTAAACTCCTTTGAACCATAGTGTTTTCCTTCGTTTTTATTTTTGCATTACAGTTCCTGCAAAAGGTAATCATGGTTTATATGTAGTTTTCATTTAAGACAAACCTGTTCTTTTATTTAACGGGTTACAGCCTCTGGGGTGTGTTATTTGCTTCATGAATTTACATTTATAATGGTGGCAATTCAACTTAATATGCTAAAGAATGTGTTCTGTATTTCATTTCAGACAGTAGATTCAAAATGATTACAGTGAAAACTTGCTTTGAAATACAAAGATATGTATATATAACAACTTCGGTGGTTTTTAATGAACATTGTAGTCTGTTGGGCTGTGTATATTGATAAAAATGTATGTACTGTAATAGATAAGGGTGAAGGAACTGATGCAAGTGTGTGTAACTGTACGCATGTTGAGGAAAGCATATGTACTCTAATGGATAAGGGTGAAGGAACTGTAAGGTATCTATAACACCCGAGTACAATTCTGCAAGGGTGTAATACATGCTTTTTTGGTTTTGCTATTGCCATGTCTGATTTATGTAATAAAGCTGATTTTGTGATACTCTAATGGTAATTCTTTATAGCACTTATTTGTGCTGTAATTATGTTTACATTATACACCTGCACCATCTTGACCTGCTGAATTGTCTTAACTGCAGTGTCTACCGTTGTTGTATAACTGTGAGGTTGTCCATGTTCTGGTCTTTGATGAAACCATTTTGGCAGGTTACATTTATCACTGCAGCTGAATTTCAGTATACAGATTATTTCATACATTACAGTTGCACAGATTCCAGGGTTATTACAAGGTTACATGATCTTTTGTTTCAGTATTGGGTTGTCATAATAGTTTCTAAAACTTTAAATTTTGTTTTATAAGGATTCAAAAATATTACATTAACAGCTCTTGTTTTACAATTTTGATTTGCTTATGTAGTATATGAAACGTGAGATTTCAGGTTCTCATGATTTTGATTTGCTTATGTAGTATATGAAAAGTGAGATTTCAGTTTCTCATGGTGGAAAGTATGAAGCTACTCAGGGTTGCTGCATTATGTAATCTGGTACAAGTTTACCATCATTTCAGAGGTCTTTGCTTCCTACATCATCTGGTGGCCATTGTCTTGACTGATATTTATACATTAACATTTTGGGAAAATGTGTTATGAGAATGTGATTATGTAACATCGGTGTTTTTATGTGGATTGTTGTATGACAACTTAAAAAACCTGCTGTATTTCCAGTTTTCAAAATAATATATCTCGACCAAACCCATTGAAAAGAATAAAGGGCTATACATTGCAGTCTAAATGTGTTCATGAAGTCTGTCAGTATATTGTATAAGGAATAATGATCACTTGACATGTAATTGCCTGTTGGGTTCTTAATTTACTAAATTTTGATGCCAGTGAATCTTGGTATGGAGTGTGAGAGCTTTTGGTCATGGGATTAAAGGTATGCCTTTGCAGTGAGGGTTGGTGGATCCAATGAAGGTTGATGTGTAGTGAACAGTGAAAGGGGTGGAGAATCAACAACACTGGTGATCGTTTATTAGTATATTTCTCGGATCTTTTGTAGAACTGTAGATGTACTTCCATATAGCACTGACGAACTTCTGGTACTGAATCTAAACATAAATACAAACTTGATACAAGTCAAAACGATGGACTTAAATTAAGAAATTGACTGTTTGCAGTAACTGAAGGTGCAGCTTATATTCAAATAATTTGGATGTTGGACTTGGAAACTATAGACAACTTCTAATAGCAGATGCAACAACATAGATGCTGGTAATTTACACTGAAATTGACTAAACACTAAATGAAATGGGGCATGGAATACAGATGTTCAATAGCCCACAAAAAGTTGTTCTGGTTTCTGACATAGTAAATTTTTATATATTGTTAATTAGCCAAACCATGCTCAGTCATGACTGGCTATCCAGTTTTACTATCAAAATTCCTTGGTCCATCAAAATTTGACTTTTTAGCAACAGTTTTCCAGTGTTATAGACCTTTTATGATATGCTAACAAAATTGGGAGTGGGTACCCATTAACTCTTGGTATATGGTGACAACCTATCTTTTGGATGTGCACTTCTGCTTTTCTTACCCCTCCAGAATTTTGAATTAAATCAATGCAGGAGCAGGTAAGACAGCATTTAGGTGTGTTGAGGTACAACTTGTGTGGTGAAAGGTTAGAGAACAGATGATTTTCCCTAAGTGGAGACCAACTCACAAGTGATCATCCTAGAGAAACTTGGATAAAGTTGTAATCAATTCCAAGGTGTTTATGTAAACTCGAAGTTCTGAAACTAGTTTCATAATTCTTGAGAATTGCATCTTGTCACTAGTAGGTAGGTACTTTGTAGATGTCATTTTTTTATATAATTTGTGCCTAAATACAGGTCACGTCAGTTGTTGAATTAATCTGACATTACATAATTATTTTTGCTTTTAGTCTGTTAGTATATGTTCGGTACAATGCATTATAAAATATATATGGGGTTAAGACCACAAATATACAGGTATCCCAAAATGTCAAACATTTAAGGTAAAAGGGTATGAATGTGTAGGTGCTCAGCTATATTTGTTGAAGGATGTATTGGTCATTTTAAATATTTCCACAGCAGAGCCCTTCAATACTGGAATCCTGGTGAAATTTGCCTTTATGGAAGAAATGGAAGCTATTGCATTTGGTTGCTTTTCTTTCATGGCAGTACTATAAAAATGATACTTTGGTAATATTTCTGTGCCAGTAAATGTTCTGATAAATGTAGATTTGTGGTAAGTGGATAGCATTAGTCTTGGTTGATATAATCATTGGTTACGTCTTGCTATCCTTTGTAAGCTAATGAAAGAGTGGTGAAATACTAAGTTCCTTGATGATTCAGGTCATCCTGTTGGTCACCATTTAAAGGATTGTTGAAGGTTCAGCAAGATATCAGTTATCAAAGTACTTCAACATTATACCCTACATAATATGATTAAATGTGGGTGATAACCTTCTTGATTGAAAGAAGATGCCGGCTTGGAAATTGCCTTTTAAAGTACTATATTTTTAATACCAACCACGTTTTCAGTTCAGTGTTACACAGTTTTGTATCAAAATTTTACATTCTTAATATGAAGATATTTTCAAGAATTAAGTAATAGATTCAACATCCTGCTGGTGTGGAAAATATATTTGAAAAGAGAAAGTCTTGGTGGTTTAAGCTTGAATATGTTGAGGTTAAACATTCTCAACGCGATTCATACAGTTATTCTGCTGGTGTATTTCTGGAAGGTTTGGCTATGTTAACGAATATTAGCATTCATAATGGCAGTTAAGCAGTGCCAATTAGTAAAGGTAAGATAATTAGTCGGAAAACTTTAAATGGATTGTCACGTCATAAATGTCTTTACGTTACCGGGATGGAACGAAATCGCAAGGCTAGTTGATTTCGTATGGGAGGGGAGTGGGAGATTTGACCTTGGTAAGACGCCATCTTACACAGTAGTTAAATAAGAATTTTGACGTTTCGTGAAAGCATGTATGGAATTTAAATCCCTTTACAGATAGTGCCGTCAAATAATTGAGTGATTAGATATCGGTACTGTTCTTCTGAACTACTGGTTCTGAATGTCTTGTCCCTGTCGGACAATTAATGGTCCAACTTGAAAGGCATTGACCTAACAACCTCCATTTAGCCCAGAGCTTTGTCAGTATTATAACAATTGGCTGTGCTACTGTTATCAGTAATGCATCGTGACAACAGTAACACAAACGAGACCATGATTGGGGATATATACGATTCGTTCCGTAGACGGATTCATGTTAATTAGAATGATATTTCCCTAGTGAAAGGGTCGCCCCTTCAGTTGGAGTCAGTAGAACAATCTTGGTAGGTGAGAGTGCTTGCACTAAGTTGGTTTTAAACGCATTTCTTCAGGATTGAAAGTTCTACTAACATAGCAGAACTTAACGCCTTTCGAAAATGTAATTGCTGTAACACGACCCACTATACATTTCTAAAAAAAATTTGATACATGCAGGCAGAAAATCATTATGAAGTTAATAAACATTTGATTTTTGTAAAACGTATTTTTTTCCACATTTACATAGGACTGTTGCCATTTTTTAATTCTTAGAAATTGCTGTAATTGTGGTTTGTCATTTCATTATTTTTATTAACTTTGGTGTTTAATCAAAAAGTCATTACTTATAACTTTTGAATGGAAAAGAAGGAATCCATACAGGTGGAGAGGAACCCTTGAAGAAGACAGCCACTTGTAAGACCGAGAAGCAGATAGAAAGCTAACGTCTTCAAGTAAAATACATTCTTAGATTATGAACTGGATTGAGGTGGCCCAAATTATACACATTCCCCTGTGATTGTTAATTTAAGTTAATAAACAACAGAAACTCAAATTGTGGCATTGCATTATGGTTATTGTCAGAATGCTGAGATGTTCATGCCAATGTCTCGTGTATTCAAGAGGATGGCTGGCATGAAAATTGTCTGCAGTCTACCATCTAGTCTCACAAGGTATTGCTGCTAGGAAATAATGTTTGTAGTATGGACATGAAGTTTCCTAACCTGCAGCCCTTCCCTTCCGATTCCATTGCCTCTTACTTGCAGTGGGTGTTTAGCCGACTGCTGTTCCATATAATTAAAACTCCTAATATTATTCTCTACATGTAGGTTGTGTCTGGAGAAGAATCTGGCCAAGAATCAGGATCTGAATCAGACAAGAATTCTGGTTCAGGTTCTGATAATGAGTCAAAGAGCAGTGTGTCGTCAAAGTCTGCCTCCAGATCAGGCTCAGGTACAGCCTCAGGTTCTGATAGGTAAGTGAATAAACCATACTTCTTTTATAGTAGCTGTTTGCCAGCTTGTGAATGGTGATTAAGATAAAATGAAGGTCATCATTTTCACTGTTAAAGATTGAGAGCCGCATAATTTATGCCGTTTGTTTAATTTTGTTTTGATGAATTTTATTGCCCATCAAGTATCTTACAGAGTAAATATCAGAAATGTGTACAAATTTTTGTTTGGGGAAGTTCTTGTAAGCGTTTGGTTAGGTTAGGTTAACTAACTCCCTGCCATTCTTATCTTGTGTTAATGGTATTTAAAAATCTTTGTTGCCTGCCTTTTATTTAACGCAGTTTAGATGTCTGACAAGAGCTCAGCGTATGGGTTTCTCATAAGTTTAAGGTTAAAGTATGGTGTAGCATTTTGCAGTAATGGTCGTACAACCTAACCATTTATGAAAAATATCTGGTATTTGTGTCATTTGGAATGAAACAATCACAGGGTGTGGTAGGCAGAAAATAGCATTGTGTCTCTACAAGTTCTTGAAATGCATTCCTGATAATATTTATGAGTTCAGTATTGCTGTTCAGTGCCAACATTCTTGTGGCTGTGATGCTAATGACAGCTGAAAGATAATGTAGAAGTTATCACAACCAGCTATAAATTTCTTGAAGTTGAATGTTCTCACTTAGAAGTGAGCATAATTTATGCAGCTGCAGAGAAAGTAAAGATAAGAATAATGGCAAAAGTAGAATTGTCTAGGGATTGTGCAGATTTAATCTGAATAGTACCAGCATAGCCACCCTTCAATGTGATTGGGCTGGAACAATATGACTCTATATTTCAGGGCACTACGTAGGAGTTTTTTTACATAACTCTCAACTTTAATACAGATGATGATGCAGTTTGGCAGAAGATTAGTTCAGTTCACTATTGATGAGATAACCCCAGGGCAAAATATTATAGAAGCATTCCTGTTCACTTGAGAAAGGATTTAATACAGTGTATTGGAAAATAAGACAGTTATCATCTCCCAAAGCTCATATGAATTTAAGATAAGTGGTATGTCACTGCAATGCACAGCTCGCTGACCCATTCTTATGACATGATACACAGATGATAAAGGTTAATGGAAGGTGGTCACATTGTTTATGAAACCAAAATGCTACCTGAAGCATCATTTAATGCTTTGATCTGAGAGGGATTATATGAATGGAGATTACAGAATACTGACATAATAGGATTTATATTGTTCTCTTAGTATTATTAGGACAGTTTACATTTGGGAGGTTATAGTGTTAATGGGAACAAAATATGAATTCAAATATTGCTGGGGCATTTCTTGGAAAGCATAAATTAAGGTAGAAATATAGAGATAATTTTAAGATGGATCTTATGGGAAGAGATTGGATTTAGATACTGCAGAAATTCTAGGGGCATTGTGGCTGTAGCCTGTACTGTTTGAAAGTCAGTTTATGCCCTTGTAATGTGTTTGTTCGCATAAGGTACTGTTTTAATTGCAAATTTACTCTAAAGTGATTTAAGATACAATTACTTGGTTTTGGTCATCTGGTGATTCTTTTCTAATAGATGAACAGAGGTGAAATTGTGATCCAGATTATGAACATATTTTGAGACATCTAAATTCTTCAGTGAGTTTGATTCCAGTTCTTCGGGGTCATCCAAATCTGGATCTGGCAGTGGTAGTGCATCAGACTCAGATAAATCTTCTCCAGAGAAAAGTAGCGACCCAGTTCCATCTAAAAGCAGTCATGGCAAGCCTCGACAGTCTGCTTCTGATCTTAAGCAGGTAAAGAAGAGTGCCTCTTCAGCAAGCAATCAAAAAACAGAGGTAGGAGGCAACATAACATAATATGTGATGCTCTGTGCTACCTTCGGTATCACTGTGCATGGAAAACTTGTGGTCTGTGGGCTCATGTTGCTTCCCAAATGCAAACACATGCTTTTATATGTTCAGCATATAATTGTTAAGTCTGATTTAAAGATTATTACAAGAATAAATATGAGGTCATCGGTTCACTATTAACATTTCAATATTGCCTTTGTGTTAAAAAGTTGCATAATTTTTAAGTGGTCGTTTAACTAATACTAAATTAATAGCTTTGGACTGCATTTCTTACTAACCCTAAGTGAATAATACATCCCTCATACTATGTTATGACTGTCTTTTGTGAAATGCGATGTTTTTGTATGTGAATCATAATTTTCCAACATTAAAATTATAGTATATTGAGTATTAAATAATTATTGTTTTGATCAGAAATCTGATCAAGTATGAGCAGGCCTATAAGAAATTCTGCTGCTGCTTCTGTTTCAATGAAGATTGTGATATATATTTTGAGTTTTTGTGTTAAGTGGGGGAAAATAGCCACTGTGCAACATTAATCATTGCAGTGAATGTCAGGTTTAACTGACTCTCAAAATATGTATATTTAATTATTCATAGGTTTTGTTTTTATGTTATAATAGTCATAAATAATATGTTATTGGTAATTGCCAGTGCTGGGAGGACAACCCAGATGTATATGGGATTCGACGATCAGGTCGCCCAAGAAGGGAACCTGAGAGGCTGAATGCAGCAGAGAGTGACTCTAGTGAAAGAGGAAAACAGAAAGTTGTTCCAAAGAAGTCTTCAAAGAGGCAAGTCATTAGAAAAGTATTAACAAGGCTGTCAGAATATACCCAGTACTGGATTTTGTATAAATCATTTGATTATTCAGGTATAGTGCCTAGAATTGTTCACAAATCCTTAGCTGTAATTTTTATGGTACTTTGTCAGCAGCTTAAAAATTGGGAACTGGATTACAAATATAAGAATAACCATCTATGGCCTGTTTGGGCTCATATATTAGTCATATCTTGTTTTAGTTTTGTAATTTTTGTGGAAAATATTGTTTCCAATCTTGTTGATAATATTAACTTTTTTTGAACTTGGAGAATGTATTCCGAGAAAAGGTGTTTGTATGCAAGTTATTGTTGGTAAAGGTAAAGCTTTTCCTGGTGCCTTACTAAATTTTATACCAAATAAACATATAGGTTGTGAAGGAAAAGCTTGGCATTAGATGGAATTGAATGGTACCTTTATACCCCAGCTGCTTTACTCCCCAAGGAAGGGAGCCCTATATCCATTGAACAGGAAGCTGGGTTAGCCCCGGAACTAGCCTGGATGATGTGGCAAAGAAAAAAATGCTGCCTCTACATGAATGAAACCTTGGAACATCCAGCCCATATCATAGTTGCTATACTATTTGAGCTACTCTGGCTCCAATTATCGTTGGTGGTAACATTTATTTTAGACAGTGGAATAGAAAGAATAGTTTATGTCGCTCTTGCATACCACGTTTTTTAAAGACTTTAGGTGCTATATGTTTTTCTTGGGACATAAGCTTAAATAAGTTTGCTCTGTCTTGGGGGAGGGGGTGGTGTTTTCTTGATGACATGGATATAAAGTGGCTATTGTGGAAAGAGATCAGTTTCAGGGACCTAAATTTGCCATCTTGTTACAAAATCACATTTAACTCGGTGACATTGAGTATTAAATAATCACTGTTACATCTCTTGAAATATCCATCTTATCGAAAGTTTTCTCAGAGGTTTAGATGTGTTAGTTTTGCATGCAGGTCAGGCACTTGGAATTCAGATTCATCAAATTCAGACTCTGAAGAAGAAATTGAGAGACCACCTCCAAGTAAACCACCTGCGAGGAAGGGTACATCATCTAAGCCAAGGCATAAAGTTGAAAGTAAGAAAGTATCACGTCGGAAATACAGCGAATCATCAGATGACTCTAGCTTCAACAGTGATGATGACAATGAAAGCCGCAGGTATGCGTGAGAATACCATCAGTGACACTGTTCTTATAGTAGAACTATTAATAAAGTTCTGTTGATAGTCAGTATGGAGTGATTCTTATGTACCTTCATCTTTTACCCCCTTTTAACTTTTTTTCCTTTTATTGCCATTATATCTTGGCTCTTTTCATATTACTTTCCCTTCTCTGTTTTATTAAGAAGTGTTTACTAATATATTAGCTTAGTTTTTTTATTGTTGATTCCATAGTTTGCATGTATTTAGATATTTCTTTTGTGGGGGAAAGCAAATACCATCCAATATACTGGCTTTTATATAATGCAGATTATTATGTCTTCTACTTCAAGAAAGTGTAATTTGAATTTTGCTCAGTCATTTCATATATTGTGGCATAGTTCATGTAGGATTTGAAGGATTGTTAACCTTTATCAGTTGTACTTCTCATCTTACTCACAGTCCAGTTGGCTCTGTGTCCCACTTGTGTACGACGAAACCATTAACCATAGAGTTTAAGTCTGGCAGCAACCTCTTAGTAAGGGGGTTTAAATCCATAGACCAATATGATAAAGGTTAAAGAATTATTGGTGTTGATGAATCTCATTTTGTTTCAATAATTATTTTGAGTTGTGTAATTTGGATCTGCTCTTGTAATTTTTGCTGGAGTGAAAATTAATATGTGTAGGCATGCAAATCGTCGTGCAGCAGCCACGGTAAGCTACAAAGAAGATAGTGATGAGGACAAAACAGGCTCAGATGATCTTGTAGAAGTGGAATGGAATGAAGCAGACACTCCAGCTGAACCAGATAATGCAGAAACCATTGAAAAATTACTTTCCTATCGACGTGGGAAGAAAGGAGGTGATGAAACTGTATTTAAGTGTATATTCTTGCATGTGGTCTACTTAAAATGAGAACCATAAATTGCATTTCAAAATATTTAGTCTTCCACCATTTGTTATGCAATAATACAATTTATAAGAGTGTACTCTTGCAGTGTTTAAATTGCTAGTGGTAATGTTACTACTAGTTATTTAGTAATATTTTGGTGATTATACATTTTTACTTTATGAAGTTTGTCATTGTTTTGGAGACATTGTAATTATCATCTTCATGGTGAAGTGACTCATATCTTATATTTATAGTGTCTTCTTATGAAGCCAAAGGAAAATTATTTTCATGTTGGTGGATTTGGAGTTTGGGTGGATTAATACGAGTCAGACTTCAGAAAAATGAGACCCTTTTCAAGGTCACGTTTTTGGAGAGAGGTGTCTGACAGAAAAAATAGCACATTCTTTCAACCTGTGCTGCTCTGTAGAAACTCTTAAGTCACAGTGTAGCATAAACACTTATGGTTGAAGTAGAGTCTGTAATCAGATCAAGTTTTATTAAATATGGATATTTTATGCTTCGTTTAGTGACTGGAAATATTACAACTATTTATGCTGTAGAGGAAAATGGTGACCCTAACAAAGATTGTGATCCAGAAGATCTTGAAAATACAGAAACGCAGTACCTCATAAAGTGGAAAGGATGGTCACACATACATAACACTTGGGAATCTGAAAAGTCACTCAAAGATCAAAAAGTGAAGGGTCTCAAGAAGCTCGAAAACTTTGTGAAGCGTGAGGAGGAGCTTTCGGCATGGAAGCATCATGCATCACCAGAAGATATTGATTACTTTGAGTGTCAGCTGGAGTTGCAGAATGAATTGCTCAAGAGTTACAACCATGTTGAAAGGATTATAGGTATTGTTTCTTAAATTTATTGTTTGGAAAACTTCAATTTTTGTATCAATATTCTTAAGATTCACTGAAGTTAATTGTGGAGACATGTCAATTTAAGTGTCAGGTGTGTAATTTGGGCTTAGAATGCCTACGAGGACACTTCTTAAATCTAGTACAATAAAGATTTACATCAACAATATAGTTTATTTTAAATTTTTAAAATTTGTTACATCATTATGTGTAATGCAGTATCTCATTTATTTGCTATTCATATGACTTATTTGTGTTATAATGTGTACTTTTATACATATATGCTATTTCTAACATATCCAGCAATTTTATTTTATTTTCTGTCTTTTTTTAAGCTGAATTTGTTAAACCAGATAGTGCTCATCCTGACTATTACATCAAGTGGGAGAGTTTGCCATACGCTGAAGCCACGTGGGAAGATGGTTCCATTATTGAAAAGAAATGGCCAAAAAAAATTAAAGAATTTCGGGATCGGGAAGAATCTAAGCGAACGCCCTCAAAACACTGCCGTGTTTTGAGGCATAGGCCAAAGTTTGTTCAGGTGAAAAGTCAGCCTGAGTACATGGGTGGTGATCAGGTGAGTTGTGTTATATTTATGTTGTCACGGAATGTGTATGTAATATCACAAATCACTGTCTGTCGTTCCTGTCCTTGCAGGTTTTAGTACTACGAGATTACCAGCTGGATGGACTTAACTGGCTTATACATTCTTGGTGTAAAGAAAACTCTGTAATTCTTGCTGATGAAATGGGTCTGGGAAAGACTATACAGGTATAGTAGATAGTTTACAGATATTCTGGTTCTGTGATACTAATTAGATATTTTTTGGTATAAATATGTGTAAAAATATCTGTATTGCATTTTTAACAAAAATACACTGTGTATCTGTTTTTCATAAAGCGCAGATTTCCAGTGCCTCAACTACTCATTTAAGTAGCACATGTGATTTGTATGTTATTTTAAAATCGGATTTTTGCTGTCACAATTTTTCAGACCTTTAGAATAACGTGGTTTTTGTATATGTATGGTTGGTAGCGTGGTTGTTCTTTTTGTCTTACTAATCCTAATTGTGTTTTGTTTCAGACAATATGTTTGCTTTATTACTTATTCCATAACCATCAGCTGTATGGTCCATTCCTTATTGTGGTGCCCCTGTCTACAATGACTTCTTGGCAGCGAGAGTTCTCTCAGTGGGCACCAGAAATGAACATAGTCACATATCTTGGAGATATTAACTCTCGGAACATCGTACGTTTTCACATGTTGTAGCATTGCTTTCAAAATCTATTTTATTTTGTATGTTAATGTGTTGTGATAACCAAATATTGCGACAACCACCTTTGCCTTATAATTGACATCCAGTGCTTGGAATGGTTAATAATGAACTGAATACAGTTTCATATTATATACTCCCCTATGGTGACTGTGCCTTGACTCAGCTTCATATCATTTGTACTTGATGTCAGAAAACTAGAAACTTAAATTCTCTAAGTCAGTGGTCCCCAACGCGGTGCCCACAGGCACCTGCCAAGGCTTTTTTTGGGTGCCCGCTTTGTTACGGTAAGAGACTGAATAATGAAGGCCGTTCAACCACGAACATTATAAAGTCAAAGCGCAGATCTAGACTTACTGACGCCCATCTTGACAATTGCTTGCGAGCAGCAACATCATCCTACACTCCCAAATTTGAAAAACTGGCCGATGAAATGCAGTGCCAAACATCACACTAACTTCCCGCTTGAGTAATAATAATTGTACTTATAAACCTACGTATTTTTGATCACGTGGTTTCTTGTATCATTAAATGTTGTGTTGTTTTGTGTATTATTTGGTGTTGGGGACCACTGGTCTAAGTAGTAGCTGAGCTGAGTATTATTTTTTCAAGATATAGTCAATGTCACTTGTGCTGATAGCAGTGTTTGCCTTCTTTTCCACCCTGTTACATACTCAGTTTCTTGTAAACCTATAAGTCTGGATTGGATTTTTAATCACCTTTTATTTGTGTAGATTCGACAATTTGAATGGTGCTACAGTGGATCCAAAAGACTCAAATTTAATGCAATTCTCACTACCTATGAAATTGTATTAAAAGACAAAGCTCTCCTGGGTAGTCTGAGCTGGGCCGCTCTGTTAGTGGATGAGGCTCATCGCCTAAAGAATGACGACTCCCTCTTATACAAGGCATTGATGGAGTTTGACACAAATCATCGTTTGCTCATCACTGGCACACCTTTGCAAAACAGTCTGAAGGAATTATGGAGTCTGCTACACTTCATCATGCCTGACAAGTATGTTTATTTTTTAGTTCCTGTCATATGTCGCCTTACTCATTTTCAAATGTTATTAGTGAACCTGATCATGCTGTAAAATTAATTTATTTGATACAGATATTCAAATGCTTACCTCATTATTTACTATCAACAGTTTGAATTAATATATTTATGTTACAAATTTTGCTTTGCACAGTTTGGTAATCTAATATATTTTCAGAATTATGTGATGATAATCCTTCACTTTTGGTATTAATTTTGTTAAAGATAATGTGAGGGTTATATCATGCCATTCTTATTTGTTCAGATTTTCTTCATGGGAAGAATTTGAAAAAGAGCATGAAAATGCAGCACAGAGAGGGTATTCTAAGTTGCACAAACAGCTTGAGCCATTCATCATACGTAGAGTTAAGAAGGATGTTGAGAAGTCACTGCCTGCGAAGGTAAACCTCTTCCTAAATTATCTTCAAGATAGTATATGAAAACCTGAATGTTGATGTTTGAAGCCTTAACTTATCTGTACTTTCAGAATGTTAATAGGCCTGTACTATTAACTCTTTCGAAGTAGTTATAAATTACATTGCGTTGTTCTACTAACTCCATAGAGCGAAGTTGCACTTTTTATGACACCTGAGTTTTTATTCATTTATTTAAAAGATCCTGCTGTGAGCCAGATAAATACAGTCAATGGCCTCCCGCTTATTTCTCCAAGATTAATTTTAATATTTTCCTCCCATTTATGCCTGATCCTTTCTAGTGGTCTTTTGCTTTCAAGTTTCTCAACAGAAATATTTTTTTCAAACCTATCATTCCACATTTTTCTACTACATATTCATTTGCCATCCTAACAGCTATAGTTCACACCATTTCAGGCTTCTTATTGTTACTCCCATGTGACAGAATTTAAATTTTATATAATCTTATGTTTTCAAGTAGTTGTGATGAAAATCAGAATTATACTGGAGCTTTAGAGTATATGTAAAACAACATTTCAATAGAATATGTATCTTAGAATTTGTGTGTTCCCTTAGCTCTTTGTAGCTAGTACAAATATAATAATTGTTTTGTTACCAGGTCGAACAGATACTACGTGTAGAAATGACAGCACTTCAGAAGCAGTATTACAAGTGGATCCTTACAAAAAATTACAATGCATTGAGGAAAGGTGTGAAAGGTTCTTCAACAACTTTCCTGAATATTGTGATTGAATTGAAGAAGTGCTGCAATCATGCTTTTCTGACAAAACCCGTGGATTTTGATCAGAGGCCATCTCCTGAAGAACATATTCAGCAGGTGATCAGAGGATCGGGGAAACTCGTGTTGCTTGATAAATTGTTGGTTCGATTGCGTGAGACAGGCCACCGAGTGCTAATCTTCTCTCAGATGGTTAGAATGTTGGACATACTGGGTGAATATTTACAGCATCGTCACTTTCCCTTCCAACGGTTAGACGGTAGTATTAAAGGTGAACTCCGAAAGCAGGCATTGGACCATTTTAATGCCGATGGTTCTCAGGACTTCTGTTTCTTGTTGTCAACAAGAGCTGGAGGTTTGGGTATCAACTTGGCTACTGCTGACACTGTTATCATCTTTGATTCTGACTGGAACCCACAGAATGATTTGCAAGCTCAGGCTAGGGCACATAGAATTGGACAAAAGAATCAGGTGAGTTCAAATTCTATCACTTGTAAAACATAATTAAGTTCAACAAAATGAATAGTGCACCTAGTTGAGTGAGCATTGCATGTAATAATAAAGCAGAAGGGAAAAAAAATAATAAGATGTTCTATTAATTTCTTGCTTAAAGGTTGATTAATATGAAGCTCAGACGTCAATGGTTTGCTTGAGACGTTATATTTTTAATGTGAAAAATTTTGAACAGAAAAATACAGAAATAAAGAATTAATTAAAGAGAACAGAGGTTTGTTGCTTATCTAAGGATAAATTAACGTTTATTTCATTTGTAGGTGAACATTTATCGTCTTGTGACGCGCAGTTCGGTTGAAGAAGAGATTGTGGAACGTGCAAAACAAAAGATGGTATTAGATCACTTGGTGATTCAACGTATGGATACAACAGGCAGAACTGTGTTGGACAAAAAGAGTGCTAGTAGTACAACTCCATTCAATAAGGAAGACTTGACTGCTATCCTTAAGTTTGGAGCAGAAGAGTTGTTCAAAGATGAAGAAGATGGAGATGAAGACCCAACGGTTAGTGAAAATTGGAACATGAATGAATCATTTCACTCCATTGCAGTTATTACCTATTAGATAAGTATGCACATACATTCGAGGGGTTGAGGTGGCTCGATCGGTATAGTGACTGGCTATGGACTTGATGACCAGGGTTCAGTCCCCAACATGAGCAGAGGATTTTCACTCTAGCCAAAGACTACCTTTTAGCTGTCGATGGGTACCAACTAATACAGAGAATTATCTTTTGCCATCCTCAATGAGATGCCAAGAAATTGTACTAATCGGAAGTCTGATGCACTGTCCAAATTTCCAGTAAGTGTAATGGAAGTATGTCTTGCTTTTATTTACACTCATTGTAGAAAATGCGTACATAACAGGACATGTCAGTGTGAGTGGATCCAGATAATTTTAATTGATATGTGGTCCAATGTTGTTTGATTGCCACAGGTTCATAATTTGTTGCTGTTTTCTGAAGTAATTTTCTCATACTTGTTAAAAATGTGTATTAAAAATCCTTGCATAATTTACAGAATTGTATCTGTAAGAACAGAATGTTTCTTGGTTGTCAATCATGTATTGAGATAATAAATTGTAAAAATATATCTAAAAAAAATTTTAGTGCCCAATGTGAATTAGCATTCATCACTACTTTAGGACTTGCTCTTCTTCAATTGACGAGTTAAATGGGGGTTCCGTAGTGTAATAAACACCAGTGTTCATTATTGCAGTGTGACATTGATGAGATTTTACGGCGAGCAGAAACTCGCGATGATGCTCCCGCTACAGTTGGTGACGAGCTTCTTTCAGCATTTAAAGTGGCGAGTTTTGCGGCTTTTGAAGAGGACAAGGAAGTTCCTAGCACGGAGCAGGAACCCGATGATGAGAGTAAAGACTGGGTAAGTTCCAGTGTATGGAGACTAATTTGAATAATGTTTTACGTTCATGGGTTATTGTAAATTATGTTTTACATGTGTGTAGGATGAGATCATTCCTGAGAACTTTCGCAAGAAGGTTGAAGAGGAAGAACGCCAAAAGGAAATGGATGACTTGTACTTGCCACCTCGCAGCCGTAAAACATTACAGCAAATCAACCAATCCGATAGTGACGGTAGGCTTCATGCATTACTGTAATAAAAGAGAACTGAAATTCAGTGTTTAATCATTACAATGCAGAGTAACTATTATTATATCCAGTGCACTAGCAAATATGTACTTATATTATTAATCCTTTTACATCGCTTTTTAACTATTTAGAAGAAATTAAGATCAGTAATGATAAATGTGATAAGTATTGTAGCATAAAAAAAGGGTGGAGTACCTGTTGAACTCTTATGAACATGTAACATTTTATACTCGGTGTAATAAAACACAGATGCAGGAAGGTTTGGTGTTTGGTTTTATTACATTTTGGCAGAATAAATTCAGTATCTGTCAGTTATGACAGAAATGCAGATTATTCATGTTGTTTATTTTGTTTTTCTCCATTTTCATTGCTGTGAGCAATTGAGAGTATTGTGTTTTTTACCTGGTATATAGGTGAAGGAGGTGGTAGAGGAATGAAACGAAGAAAGAAAACTGAAGAATCTGATTCAACCGAGGAAGGAAGTGATGAAGAGAGACCAAGGAAGCGGGGACGACCCCGTGTCACTCCTCGTGAGAATATTAAGGGATTTACAGATCAGGAAGTGAGTTGTGTTAAAAGATAGTTATTGTATATTATATCTTATTTTACATGAAAAATTAATAATGCATGTTCATTAATGGCTCTGTTAGACCTACAAGTTGTTATGAATTTTTTGCATTAGCAAATAACATGAATGTATATTAGAACTGATTGTGTCTGTCCATCAGTCTGTATGTTTGAACTGAAGAACTTCTTTATTTATTTCAATGACATTTTATATGAATGTTATGCTATTGGATGTCAAATGCTTGAACTTGTAAGTTGAGAACAACAGTAACACTCTTCATTAGGGTTGTCTTTCTCAACCTATAAATCATTGTTGGGGTGTTAAATCAACAGTTATTCTGATCACATATAATAGCATGCAGTCTCTGTCTATTATGCAGTGGCCTTATAGTCAATAATTATGTTGTTTTGGTTAGTTTTAATTCCTTCCTGCATCATGATTTGATGATTTAATAATGTGATGTAGATCCGCCGGTTTGTGAAGAGTTTCAAGAAATTTTCTGCGCCATTAAAGCGCTTGGAAGCTGTAGCATGTGATGCAGAGCTACAGGAAAAACCACTAGCAGAACTGCGCCGGCTGGGAGAACTGTTGCGAGAGCGATGCGCAAGTTCCATGACAGAACAGCAAGCACAAAAGGAGAACGAGTCTACACATAATGAAGACAGTAATCTCTCTGGCCCTGCTCAGAAACGACGTGGGCGCGGGCCGTCCTTCAAGCTAGCGGGGGTGTCCGTAAATGCGAAGAGTCTGTTGGCATCTGAGAAAGAGTTGGAAGTACTTGATGAGGTCTTACCAGAAGATCCTTCTGAGAGACTGAAGTGGGTCCTTGATGCAAGGTACATGCTACTTTTAGGATGACTAGATCTTCCCTATCCTCAGGCTGAACCTTTTGCACACTTTGCAGAATTACAGAAGAAAGATTGTGATCTTACTGTAATCCCTTTTCACATAAGATTTATAAGTGGAGACTTTTAAATAAAATAGATTACTTGTAGACTTAGCATTTGATCTCCAATATATTATCTTCTCACTACACACTGAAACTTCTTTAGTTCAGTGGCTATATAAGGATTGTAAGCTGGATGACTGATGGTGATGTGGTCTGGAAGAGAGGAGATTCATGTTTGTTCCCAGAGCTGACTGCAGTTACATTAGCTTTTATGTACGTTGAAACCTATGGCACAAACTGGTCACTTGACATTTCACTGTACATTATTGCCAGTTTTTTTATATTCTGAACTGTTTATTGCTAATAATTATTTATAGTTTATAGTGCTGTAATTTACAGTGGTCACTTGCTGCTATAACAATTATCAGATTGTGAACAGGATTTTAAATTCGTAGTATCTGTTTTATGATTACAGTTGCTGTATTGTTCACTCTGTATACTAATGAAATGTGTGTCATATTAGGGTGAAGCCAGCCAATTTTGATGTGCCTTGGGACATAGAGGATGATTCTAAAATATTACAAGGTATATATCAGTATGGAATAGGCTCGTGGGAAGCAATAAAGATGGATCCATCACTTGGAATTAGTGATAAAATTCTTGCAAATGAAGATAAAAAACCTCAAGCAAAACATCTTCAGACAAGGGCTGAGTACCTACTGAAAGTGCTACGTAAACATTTGGATAATAAGAGCGGTGTGGTAAGTAAATAAAGATTAAACCATTTGTGTAACGGTTTCATTATCTTTAATTCACACTGGTCCATGTAGTAGACATAACACACTGTCTGATATGACTTACGCTTCTCGTGTTCACTCCTTGATATAACTCCAGTATATAATACCAGTAATAAAGCTACAGGTTCCATAAAAGGCAGGAATTTCTTGACTGGTTAATTATACTTTTAACTTCTCAAGAAGGATTGTGCTCTGTGGATTTGAAGTTACATTTTATTTAATTATTATGTGTGATATGGTAATGGTCACAGTGGGGGGACATTCTGGAGCATGGGCCTTTATGACTGGGACACTGGGGTCATGGGTTTTATAAGTCCCACTGAAAGCATGGTTGATTGTTCACACCTTTCTGTTTTGTGTTGCCCTGTTGTGGTAGAGGCTTTGCAACAGGATCCCTACCAAATGTTTAAATAGCTTCCCATATGTGCAGCCAAATCCTTTGAGGACTGTAGAGCCATGAAGTAAGACATCGTGGTAATAATGTATGTTTTGTCTTGTCATCAGGCAAAACCAAAGCGTCAGCGTAAAACACGCGAGGCTAAGGCAATTCTGACGAAAGAAATCATTGAAGATGACCTTACATCAGGAGATGAGAATACCAACAATACTGCAGCATCTTGCAGCACTCTAGCTCCTCCAAAACGACCGCCCAAACCCAAACTTGAAAAAGTCAAGGTCAAGACTGAAGGAGATGCAGAGGAGCCAAAGAGTGATACTCCTGAAGACAAGGATAAGGATGACATTTCAAACAAAGAGGAATTTCGCAAAGAGAAGAAGAAGTTGAAGAAAGAGAAAAAGGAATCTAGGAAGAAGAAGAAACCAACTGGACCAATGCATTTCACAGCCAACAGTGAACCTCGAGCACTTGAAATCATTGGAGATTTGGAACCTTCTATTTTTAATGAGGTACAAAAATATACTGCAGTGTCTCTTGGAGTTTGTTTTGGGTTTTTAAGTAGATCACTTAGATACTGAAGTGACATGATGCCGTTACAATTCTGCTTCCCGCCTTCCTCACATTGCCATGTCCGATATTACAGGCATAATTGTAGATGCCACTTTCTTACTGTAGAACATTTTTCATATATAATTGTATTTTGTGTTACTTTAAAGGTTTCATATAGATTGGTTTGACAGTCATTGAATTAGTGATATTTCTGTCAAAGAAAAGGGAAGGGTTTGGTTCACCTAGAATTACATCCCACTTATCTGTGCGGTATTCATTGATATTTAAACAACTGAACACCATATTTAAAAATGTTTTCATGTAATATGCCTCTATTTACATCTTTATTTTTGTGGGACTTGGTCTTGGAAGTTTTGTATCTGCTGTGGATGCAAAAGGTTCATTCTGTGCAACTTCATGAAATTTTCAGGTGACTAAGAAGGAAACTTGTTGATTCTTATCTGTTATTGTTAACTTTATTATATTACTGAGCAAGAACATGTATTCTTGCATGAATCTACATTACTGACAGTCATATTTCTGAATATTCTATAATACAGTTACAGAACAAAAGCTTGTATATTCAGGTTTCCATAGTGGCATACCTCTTTAGAAAAGAACACATTTGAAGAGGACATTATGCTTATTATAATTACAGTTAACTCATTGCATTCCCTTTACAGTGCAAGGAGAAGATGCGTCCTGTTAAGAAAGCTCTGAAGGCTTTAGACAACCCTGATCAAAGTCTCACAGAGCAAGAACAAGTAAATCATACTAGGCAGTGTTTATTGCAGATTGGTGATCAGATTAATAGATGTCTGTCTGAATACAAGGATCCTGACAAAATAAAAGAATGGAGGAGGTAATACTTTATTTAGTGAATGTTTACAAATACATTTTTTGTGCCTGTTTGTTAAGCGTGAAGTTCTCACACATTTCAGTCGATCGCATTTCTGATTTTTTTTTCTTAACTAGGGAAGTGCTAACCATTCAGTTTTTAGTCTTTGTGAACTATATTTTTTTCAGTTGAAGTTCAAATTTAAACAAATTCTTGTATGTGAAATATGTCTGTTCTGGCTGAATGATCTGTTATATTTATTTATGGAGACATTGATATAAGGAACTGCAGTGAACTGGAACTTGTAGTCTTGTAACTGTTTTGGCACACAGGGAACATATACTTTTTAAGATTTCCATTGCAGTTTCATTTTCATCCAGTTTTCACCATCTACCAACAATGCTGCAATTATTGCATTTGCTGGTACATATACTAAATGATATGTAGTAGTTCAATCAAGACATGGTGGTTTCATTTTTTATTTATATAGAATATCTGTACTCCTCCCCAAGTATTGTTGGGGTGAGAAGAGAAGAATTAGATTGGTGGGGCATGTGGTGTGCATGGATGGGGCAAGAGGTGTGCACCGGGTATTGGTCGGGTAGCCTGAAGGGAAGAGACTGCTGGCGAGACCTAGACATAGATGGGATGATCTCAGGCAGGATCTATGGGAGTTAAAGGAGACTGAATTTTGTTGGCCCAGGACAGGGACCGGTGGAGGGCTTTGGTTAATTTGGTGGTGGACCTTCAGGTGTTGTAAGCCATCTAGTTAGTTAGTTAGTTAGTTATAGAAAATCTGTAATTATTTTACTTACATTAAATTATTTCCATTTTCAGTAACCTGTGGTATTTTGTATCTAAATTCACTGAGTTTGATGCAAAAAAGTTATTCAAGTTATACAAACATGCTGTAAAAAAGGATCAGGATAAGAAAGGACCAGAGAAGATGGTAAAAGTAGATAAGGGAGATGATGAAATTAAAACAAGTGAGTCAAAAGAGGGTAACCATAATCGAACACTAAATAAGCGGCGTATTGATGAAGAAAAGGAATCTGAAAAGGATGCATATGCGACACCTATTAAAAGGCCATATGTACAAATGGATTCAAGGTTAGTTAAGAATGTGTGAGTATTTACAGCTGTAATAAGTATTTATGTGAAAATCGTAGTATGTTTATCTTTTGAGATGTGATGTGTTGCTTCAGACTAAACTAATTAAAGTTTATATTCCCTCCCTTGAAGTCGAAATCGTGATAAGGAGGAACGTGGGCATGACAAGGAGCGAAGTAAAAAATCAAGTAATGATCCTAGAATTGATCACTCATCGCGAGAACGCATTAAGGATAGTGGACGTATTCACAAAGATAGTGGAGGTAACTTGCCTCTAACACCAACACATCAGCGAATGAGAGATGGTAATGGACCTTCAACTCCTTTACGTAGTGTCGGGCAAACTACTACTACTTCATATGTTGCAAGGCATGAGTTTATTGCTGGAGGAGATGGAAGAACCACGACTAGCCCACATGGAAGACACAGTGGACCAAACCAGAATGATGGAGTTGGTGACCGATGGTCTAGTGGTCAAGTTAGAGAAAGGTAACATATTAGTTATTGCCTCCTTTTGAACTTGGAAAATATGTACTCTGAATGTATTTTTTTTAAAATTCATTGCTGACGGTGTTAGTGGTTTTAATTTGAGTCCATATTGCACAGTTTGGACATTCACTTAATGTGAAGCCTCAAATAATAAAGGAAATATTTTTAGACAGAATGAATGCACACTCCATTTGACAGTGTGTGCAAATCTTACAGGCAACTTCCGTGGCTGTAGTTCTGTAAGAATTAATGGTATGATTTCCATTGTATCTTGGAAGCTAACTCATTAGTGATTCCCATGTTAAAGCTGTTCCATAACACCATAGCATGGCACATCTTCAGTTTTTGGATTGTTTTCAGATGTGTAAGGTGGCTGTGAGTATATTGAATAAGCAGTCAGAAACATCCAGCAAAGGAATGGGTGGGAACTAGGGTATTTGAGGACATGGTGCTCACTTATCACTTTGCTTTTTGAGGCCTTCAGATATTTTCCATTGAGTTTTATTTACAGATACTATCTGTATTCTTTAAACAAAAAGAAACTGTGGCTCATGGCCATGCAAAACAGTGGGAAAAATAATTGTTTTGTATCCTGATCTTTGTGTTTTTAAAGTAGGTGAGATGATAGCAATTTCTGAATTGAAGAATAACAAGTTTGTTTAATGAAACATGAAGACATATTTCCTTGATATTGCATCCAGTAACATAAATAGCATAACATGAATGTAATTAGTACGAGATTCACCAATACAGGGATATACGAAGAAGTATGGTCTTCCAGTATTACAGCACATCATGATTGATAATTTTAATTTGCTTTCAGATTTAATGTTGACCACAAGAGAGATAGGTTTGATAATTATCAACGCCAGCCAGGTTCTGGTTATCATCGAGACAGAGACAGAAATCATCGCATGTTGGACAAAAGAAGGTGTGAGCTTGTTGAGTAATGTTTCTGACTATTGTTGTATAAAGTTAACTGTATATATAAAGCGAAGTAAGTGTGAAATAACATCTACAGTTCGCTAAAAAAATTTAACAACATTTTACTATCCTTTGTTCCATTCAGAAAATTATCAGTGTTCTCACATTTACAGCACTTATTTTGCTTCCAGATTTCATCAGGGTCCAACAAATTACGGTCATTATGGACCACCATTTGGGTCAGCTCCTGTTTACCCTTCAGCGGAAATGCAACCTCATTTTCCACGAGAGAGGTTTCCAGGGCCACCGATGGGTGCTGCTGGTTCTGGTGGGCCAGGAAGTGGATTTCAAGATTGGCGGGGGAACAAAGAGAGGGACTATCGCAGAGATTATGATAGGAGACCACCTCCCACAAATTCATAGTAGTGCTACAAATTGTGTGAATGCAACTGTGTGTTGTGCTTCGTGAATTATTTCCACTGTACATAGTCGTGTAGATTGTGGATATAATCTTGTGTACAGATACTAGTAACTGATATGCTGTAAGATATCCTGTGAAATGTGCTTTCTAGAAATGTTTTCAGCAGATATTATTGTATAAAGGTGTTGGTTTGTGAACTATATATTTTGTTCTTAGCTGAAACTGAAAGAAAATCATGAGATTTAATTGACATTTGAGAAATACTGTAAGAATATAGTAAGTATTCTGTGCTAATATTAGAACTTTCTGTACAGCTATAATATTTGTTAAAATGCAGAGATACTATAACAAAAGAAGGAAAGCTTAGAAATCATGTCTGAAAGCACTGAACAGTTTTATATTTCTGTTCGCAGAAGGTACTTACACTGAATTCAGTGGAGTGTTTAAGATGAGAATTCATCATAATAGTGAATAATGATTTTCTTTTCATCACTGGTGAGACTTAAGTTGTGTGTGGCTTGTGATGATTTTATTTCTTTAGTGAATGCCAAAGGGTTTCCAGTCGTACTTTCAAGCTCTTCCCTACTTCATACTGTCATTTAGTGTACTATTACAATCTGTAAATCAGATTTATAATGTAAACTACTTTATACATAATTCTTATAGTGTTTCTTACTCTGTTCTCTGAGAGTTTGTCAAGATTTTGACATTTTATATTCCTATCCTTGACCCCTTCTCAAAATATGAATCTTCTGTTTATTTTTAGCAGACAAGTGGATACTTACATCTGAACAAGACAGAGACTTCTTATTTATCATAAATGATTCATCAGTCAAATCGTGATAGACTCTGAGTTTGGTAAAAGAAGGCAAAGCAATTTTTAAATTTATTAAGCTATGTAGATGGCAAAAGTATAATATATTTATTTTCAATAAAGTATATAAATTATGTGACAGACAATGGATATAATGTATAACACAGACAAGTGGAGTTATAATGTCTAGTCAGTTGAAGTTTAAACATGAAGTATGAAATTTAAAATAAAATACATTTTATATTAATTATTTTAAGGCTATAACATGATATGGTATAATTTTTTCTTCCAGTACATTCTCAGAACTAAGGAGAAATAATCTTCATCTTGAAAAATGGATGTATATATTTGAATAAGAGTAAAAGACACTAGCTAGTAATAAACAGCATAACAGATATTCAACATTATAATATTAAATAAACTAATGTTTATATTCAATCATAATGTTACATTGTTACCATCAATATACAACTGTTTTATTAGCAAATACAACCAAGCAATTAAAATTGTTAATATTTTTAATTGACATGTTTTGATATCATCTGTGTATCACTTTGGAGTACCCCAAAATCCAAGCTATTAAACGTACACATAATACAGTAGACCCTCACTTATTTGCAAATGGATTATTCGCTTTGCAGATCAACCACAATATGTACATACACCTCCAGGGCCTTTTGAACATTTTTATTTCGAAAGTAGCTCAAGAAAATAGCTGTCTGTTATTTGTGTAGTTGGTGGAATGACATTTCATTTTAATGGACAAAGTCTGTTAAAACCAAAAATATCTGCTGATGAGCACTGGATTTTGTTTATATATCTTTATACTGTAGTGTTTTGATGAAACTTGTGCCATTGTAAGTATGCAGTTCATATTAGTAATCTGTTTAATGATGTTCCTAATGGAAATTATGGTCTAAAGATGAATTACTAGCATCTTAAAAATGACTGCAATTTAACAGACACCTCTTCCCCTATATCAGTCCATTAAATCAGTTTTTAATACTTTTAAATTAATATGGATACATGATCCATTGTGTGAATTAAACATATATAAAATTGTGTTATCTTAAATCATAGCCTTCTTTATATACTCAGATATTGCTCACTAGTTTATTTTATGGTATTTGTCTGAATTTTTCTGAAAATAAAATTACAATGGTAATATACTTACTGATTATATAGCAGCTTATTAGTTATTAAGTTGAAACTGTATCTTTATGTAAATTTTCATTCCTGGGTTATGTTTGGCATGTGAATATTTCATTTGCTTCAAGTATGTTCTCAGTGTTTTTTTTTATATATATATATATATATATATATGAATATTCTAATATTTTGTGTATATCAACTGATGTAAATACAAGACGAAGGTTGCAACTTAATAATTAATAAATTGCTTTAACTAATAATGTTAGTGCCCATATTGTAATTTAGTCATCAAAAACAGTAAAGACTAATATGATAAGTATAAGTTTATGTTTATAAGATAATGTATATATGTTGTAGCAATATTCACATGCCACATAGAAGAGCTCAGGAAAAAGAAATTTACACCAAGGAAGAAGCTGCAACTTAACAATGTTGAGCCATTATAATTAATAAAAGTCCATATTGTAATTTTATAATTAAAATGATCGAGACTACTATAATGATAGAAAGAGGATATAATGAATGCCATAATTGTATTAAGTAGTAACGTAATTAGATAAATGTTTAATTATGTAATAAAGTAATATAAATTAATGAATGAATAATTTAAATGTTTAATTGCATGGATATTTGATATGGCACGTGTGGTCCCAAAACATGCCAAGTTAAAATATTTATATTTTAATTACAGTCAGTCCACCACCAATATTGACATTAAAGTGGGGCTGGCAGTAAAATAATATTCTTTATTTTGGAGTATATTTTTATTTAATAATGTGTTGAAGTGCCATATGATGTATGAAGTACAGTAGGTATGATCTTTAGGGTAAGAGAGTAGTATCAGGTTTGACTGTAGTTCATAGTAATTTTAAACAAAACAGTTGTATAATGATGGTAAAGATACGAGATTATGAATGCAATAAATATATATATATACAATGGTAATTAATCCACCAGGTAAAAGTAATGAATTTCTATGTGGGATATCTCTTTTAGAAACTCTTAGTTTGGATATGGGATCTTGGAAAGTAAAAGCTGCAGAAATTGGTTTCCATTGAATTACTCCTTTGCTTTGAAAATTTTCATTTATATAATGCACTTTTCATGTATTACCAACTGGGTAGCACTGATAATCGGTTGAAGCTACAGTACTCTGAACTTAGCTTTTGTAACAGTGCTTAAGAGGTAGTGGCACTGTAGTAATGAATTACCATGTTTATTTAAATATGTCATGTCCTTGAGTAAAATATGTCTCACATATGAAAGACAGAAAC